TTACAGGACCGTGTCAAAGCAACCAGCGAAGCTACTGCTCCCTTGGTGTACGGAACGATGTTGCATGAAATCTTCCAAGAAGCTCTCATGGCGAACCAATGGGATCTTCGGTACCTCAGTGGTGTCATTGACAGAGTCATGGAGAAGCACATCGAGGACTTGTACAAAATCAAAGTCAGCACCAGCATTGCCAGAGAACATCTACAGTCGAAAATGACGGAGTTGAGCTGCTGGGCCACGGCTTTTGTAGCCTCTCAGCCGAATGTATGTCTCGTCGTTCTCTCTCTTCTGATAGTCACTAATGTTGGTAAAAGCTCGATGCTGTTGTTCTCGACCGCAATGGCAAGAAGGCCAATATGTGCGTCAGCAAACTGCTCGATGTCGAGGAACATGTTTGGTCGCCCATGTACGGACTGAAGGGCAACATCGATGCTACCGTTCAAGTTACCTTAAAGGACGGCAAGGATACCAAAACGCTGACCGTCCCATTCGAAGTCAAAACGGGCAAACATGCCAACAGCAATCACATGACGCAGACCGCGCTCTATAACCTGTTGCTTTCCGATCGATACGACTTGAACATTGTGTATGGCATTCTCTACTACATGGAAACGTCGCAAACAATGCGCATTCCTACCATTCGACACGAGCTACGCCACATGATCATGCAGCGAAACCAGCTAGCATGTCATATTCGAGAGCGGAGCGTTCAGCTGCCTCCTATGAAGAGGAGCAAGAACATGTGTGGAAAGTGCTACGCAAAGACGTCTTGCTTCATTTACCACAAGCTCGCCGACGACGGCGATGGAGAGACGAGCGGCATGGATAAGCAATTCGACGAAGTTGTCAAGCACCTTACGCCAAAGCACCAAAAGTTCTTCCTCAAATGGGAGAATCTGTTGACGAAAGAGGAGAAAGAGACCCAGAAGCTGAAGAGAGAGCTCTGGACGATGGTTAGCAAGGACCGTGAGAAAGTGGGAAGATGCCATTCCGACGTCATCATTGAAGAGGGCTCAACGTCTGAGGACTTGGGCACTTCCAAGATCAACCGATTCAATTACACCTTCGTCAAGCGGATTTCGACTCCAGGCCATTCTTTCCTAGAGTCACAGTTGAACGTCGGTGAGCCTATAGTTGTTTCGGATGAACAGGGCCACTTTGCTCTCGCCTTGGGCTACGTTACTTCTGTTCGAAAACAGAGAATCAGCGTGGCCGTCGACCGGCGCCTACACAACGCCCGCATCAAGCAGCCTGGGTTTGACGAGAATGACAACCAGGTTTTTGCTAGCATTATGGAGGTCGTGCCTGAGGGCTGCACCGCAGATCAGTCTCCGGGTAAGATCAAGGAAGCGCCAATCCGCTATCGCCTTGATAAGGATGAATTCAGCAATGGAATGGCCACAGTCCGAAACAATCTTGTGCAGACAATGGCAGAAGGCGTCTTCGGGTCCCGAGAGATCCGCCGCGCTGTGGTAGATTTAGTCCCGCCGAGGTTCAAGGCAGCACCTACGCAATACGTCGTAGCCGATCGGGAATCCCTGAACGTTGACCAGCACCGAGCGATTGAGAAGGTGATGAGTGCCCAAGACTATGCGCTAGTTCTTGGCATGCCTGGCACAGGAAAAACGACAACTATTGCACACATCATTCGAGCTTTGGTCTCTCAGGGGAAGAGCGTTCTTCTTACTTCTTACACGCACACAGCAGTCGACAACATTCTCTTGAAGCTGAAGAATGATCAGACACCGGTCCTCAGACTCGGCGCTCCCGCCAAGGTTCACCCGGAGGTCCAGCAATTTGCCATCCTGGCTGGTCAGCCTATGAACTCCTTTGAGCAGATCAAGGAGGCGTGGCACGACACACCCATCGTTGCCACCACTTGTCTCGGCGTTGGCCATGCTCTCTTCAACGAACGCACTTTCGACTACTGCATTGTCGATGAGGCTTCGCAGATCACGCTGCCCATTTGTCTAGGACCAATCAGGATGGCGAAGACTTTTGTACTTGTTGGTGACCACAATCAGCTTCCTCCTCTAGTTCAAAACGAAGAGGCTCGAGAAGGCGGGCTCGATGTGAGCTTGTTCAAGCTTCTCTCCGATACGCACCCGGACTCGGTGGTCAACTTGGAGCATCAATACCGTATGTGCGAGGACATCATGACCCTCAGCAATACTTTGATCTACAAAGGAAGATTGCGGTGTGGCACTGAGGAGCTACGTTCCAAGAAACTCGACGTGCCAAACATGGCTGCACTGAAGAGCCTTCATCACGACTCGGCATCGATGCTCAGACCAGGCACTCCGAAGTCTGTGTGCACCTCCATCAACCAAAGCTGCTGCTGGCTGCGAGACTTGCTGGGCAGCGAAGCTCGAGTAAGGTTTGTCAACACTGATACCATTCAGCCTCTAACGAGAGAAGAGGCGAAGGGCAATCGGATTGTCAACCCAGCCGAAGCACGCATCGTAGTTCAACTTGTCGAGGGTCTCCTTACAGTAGGTGTACCAGACGGAGAGATCGGAGTGATGACACACTACCGCTCCCAACTATCTCTGCTCAAGCATGGCCTTCGTGGACATGTGGGCGTGGAGATGCACACGGCCGACCGATTCCAAGGACGAGACAAGGATGTCGTTATTCTCTCCTTGGTTCGGAGTAATGAGAGCTGCAGCATCGGCGAACTGTTGAAGGATTGGCGACGTATCAACGTTGCATTCACTCGCGCCAAAACCAAACTGCTCGTAGTTGGAAGCAAGAGCACCTTGAAGGGCAGCGGAAAGGACGAGATGCTCAGCAAGTTTATCGGCCTCATGGAAGAGAAAGATTGGATATACGACCTCCCGCCTGACGCACTGGACAGTCACTTTTTTGACGACACAGCGACACAGTTGACGGCCAGCGGTGTGTCTCCGATGAAGGCGAAGAAGAACACTAGCCCGCGAAAGGGCCTCAGTCCACGGAAAGCCCCAAAGCTGGTCTGGGGGAAAGAAAACGTTCGGCCGGAGCCTAAGCGGGCGAGAATGGGAGACAAGGTACTTATGAAGGATAAAGTCATTCTCAGGGATATAGTTAATGATATGACAAACGGTGCTTATTGAGGATATCGCACGGTTTGGAGTATCGGCAATGGGTTCAGGATTACGAGGTGTAAGGCGTCAATTGGACTATAACGACGGGAATTCAGGACGTCGAGCAGGTTCATCACAAAGACTCTTTAGAGGATCACGGGTCAACTTCGTTAATGGCATTTCATTCGATTTGGTGATAAATTGACGAAACTCTGCAAATTATTGTTCCTGAGTGACAGGCAGTCGCATAAGTGCTATCCACCAATCAAAGGGTCGCTGAGAGGTAATAGCAGTCTGGGAACTTGATCTTCACGAAGGGCCTCTGACAGAACTCAAGATCAGACCAACATTAGCTACGGAACCCCTTCACGCCATCAAATGCTTCCGTCCGTGTTCAGGATCATCCCGTTAAATGACGAAAGAGGTAAGTATTTGCCGGGGATTCACCTGCTCGAAGCGGCCGCGGATCGGGTGGAGTCGGTAACGTACACGTGACTGTTGATGACTAACGATCCCGACATGGGTCCGAGAATCCAACTCCAATCCAACAACCTCACCCGTGAGTGCCAAACGACTCAACAGCCGAAGTACCGCGCGCCCGCGAACGCACCCCCAATCCGCCCCTCGCCCATCACCGATAAGACGTCAATTGAGACGTCCCGCCTATACTCGCTCCAATCTCGAAACGAACTACCATTCTTCCCGGACCCGACGATGACGGCGATACGACCAACCGCGGCCCTCCGCGCCGCCCGCGCCATCAAGACCTCTGCCGCCGCGGCCCCGACCACGAGGGCTTTCTCCGTGACGGCCCGCCGCGCTGGTGGTGGTTCCGACTTTGATCCCCCTTCCGGCTGGCTCTGGGGCGTCAAGCCCGGCGAGAAGTACGAGAAGGAGGGCTGGGAGACGCCTTTCTACACCCTGTTCTGCGGAGGCATCATCGCCACTGGTGTTGTTCTTGCCTTCAAGCCTGATACTTCGTGAGTGGCCCTTGCTTTCCGGCTCATTTGTCCCTTTGATATGCAATGTATCGGATGGTACTTCAAAGAAACCAGAGTAAAACCTGGGTGCATCCAATGTCGGTTGGGCCGGGATGAGGCAATTTAGATATCAGGGTTGATTGATCGGCGGCTAACGTTACCCGCCCACACTACAGACTCGATACCTGGGCCCTTGAGGAGGCCAGGCGGAGATTAGAAAAGGAGGGCATTCTGCCGGACCCCGAGAAGTGAACAGGGAAAAGCCAATTTCTGCGACTACTGAATACGAACACCGCGGTATTCGACGGACAGACCCACCGAATCACTTTTTCTCATCTGGAGCTTGGTTTTGGAGAATATTGCCTTAGAAAGGGACGCAACGGAAGACACAAAGAAATCGAGCCGCGAGGATGGAGCGGAGAAACAGAGAGTGAGAGAGAGAGAAAGAAATTCTCCCGAAGGGGAAAGCAAGCTCGTTGCCGATTCTCTCACGGCAATGGTGCCTTTTCTTCTACCCCCCGGAAAAAGTGTATATGACCTGCCCTTGAACTAGTTTCCTTTTTTCCCCGCCCTTTTTTTACTATATCTCTGTGAGGGCCTTTCGGATCTTCGTGAGCCTTCTGCAATGACTAGATTTGCTTTTGATGATGTATGGCATAGGGATACGGTGCTTCGTGACACCAGCTTGGATCTCTTGGGTTTGATGTTCAAGAGTTTATCGTGAGGAAGATGTCGAGTGGCGCCAACGGAGCTCTAGCAAGTGAAAGTTGAGGATGTTGATGCAGTACTTCGTCTGGTAAGCTACTTGTTCTTATCGAAACTTTTGCTGTCATTTCACCACGAACTTAGGTAAATCAAGGAACACATTCTATCAGTCATAGAAGGAGGATTGTGGGTTATCGCCGATGCCAAGACCCACTCACTATCAGAATTGAAATACTGCTTTCTTTGAACACTCATATTGAACGCTTTCCGTTTGGATATCTACAAGTCTACATGCCGTTCTGATAACGAAATCTATGCAGCAACATCGGGAGCAATGTAGCTCCACTCGTGCTCCTCATCACCGTACTGTCTCGCCTCCATCCAGCCCTTGATTCTCAGGGTGATCTCGCCAGACTCCTCGGCCTCGGTAAGACCGCAGTTGATAGACTTGCCCTTCCAGGCAATGGTGCGGATAGGGCTGACAATGGCAGCGGTACCGGCACCAAAGGCCTCAATGAGGCGGCCCTCCTCGGCCGCCTCGTCGAGCTCCTTCATGGTGTACTTGCGCTCCGAGACCATCCAGCCCTCGGGCACGAGTCTCTCGCGGGCGAGGGACAGGACGGAATCGCGCGTGACGCCCTCGAGGATGGTGCCGTCGAGAGGGGCGGTGACGAGCTCCTTCTGGCCCGTCTCCTTGTTCTTGATGGCGGCGAACATGTTCATGGTGCCGACCTCGGTGACGTACTCCTCCTCGCCAAAGAGCCACAGGTTCTGCTGGTGACCGCGGCTGGCGGCCTCGAGCTGGGGAACGATGCACGGGGCGTAGTTCGCGCCGAGCTTCTTGTCGCCGACGCCACCGGGCCAGGCGCGGACGGCGTAGTCGGTAGCCTCGAGGGAGACGGCTTTGAAGCCGGTAGGGTAGTAGGGTCCGACGGGGGAGGCGATGACGTAGAGGAGGGCGGAGCCGGGGGGACCGACGCCGAGGGTCTTTTGGGTGCCGATCATGGTCGGGCGGAGGTAGAGGGAGTAGCCGCGCTCGTCGGGGATGTAGTGCTTGTCGAGGTTAACGAATTTGGAGATGAGCTCGATGAGGGAGGTGGGCTCGAAGGTGGGCAGGGCGATGCGGGCGGCGGACTTGTTGAGGCGGGCCATGTTCTTGTCCGGACGGAAGAGCCTGACCTGGCCAGACTTGTCCTTGTAAGCCTTCATGCCCTCGAAGCACTCAAAGGCGTAGTGAAAGACGCAGGTCGCGGGGTCGAGAGAAAGATTCTGGTAGGGGACGATCTTGGGATCGAGCCAGCCCTGTTCTTGGTTCCACTCAATGGTGAGCATGTGGTCTGTGGTGGGACGGTTAGCAATTGCAAATCGAGTGATGGAGGCCCAGTAGGCGAGGGGAGGGCAGTTGACTGACCGGTGAACTTGCGGCCGAAGACGAGCTCCTCGGGGTTGCCCAGCGTTCCGGGAGTCTTTGTCTTCTCAATGATGAGTTTTGAGGCATCGAGACCCAGAGGCTTGGCCGCGGAGGCGGCGGCGGGCTTGACGCTGTAGAGTCTTGCTGATTGCCATGCGGTGGCTAATCTGGGAGAGCTGCGGGGAACTCTGAGAGCGCCGACGGCGCGGGGGAAGAACTGGCGCATCATAGCGATCGGTCTGTTTGGTGTTTTGGGTGGGTATAAAGCAGAAAAGAAAAAAGGAGGTTGAGGATTTTCTCAAAACCTTAAACACAGGAACAAAGATGCCCAGATAAATACCAAGAGATGGAGAGCGAGTGTGACTCTTTTTCAGGTGAACCCAAGATATCAATCCTCAATTGCGGTCAACGGTGAATCCAATTGACCAATCCAATGCTTGATAAAGGATGGACAAGTGTAGTAGGGCGAAGGGCGCAATTTGAGGATGGCGTGTAGGGTGCGGCAAGAGTCAGGACTTCGGAGCGTTATCGGACTTCTAAGCCGTTGCTTTCCATGCGCCGCCAGATCCAGAGATCCAAAATTGTCGTTCAGGGTCCCGGCTCCGGAAGCGTCCCGCTATCTGAGGTGCAGCAGGTGCAACAGTGCATGGTCAGCATGCAGTACGTACCACTCAGGTACTGATGTCCAGCAGTGGAGCACTGGAGATGATGTAAGGTAGAGCCAAGCTAGGTGTCCTGTCCCCAAAAGACATAGCTTAGGTCAGCTATTGGTTCAGCATGGCACCCCCAAGCTCACCTCAGGTAAAAGGTGTGCCCAACTTATTTGAAGCCGGGCCTTAGACGCAGGGGTGGGCACTGAGCACTGGCAACTGTGGGATCATCGCTAAAAAGCATGGATGGTCGTTTTGATTGGACTTGAGACGCTCTTGCCTATCAGCGACGTGGAAGTCGACGCGGCTGAATGAGAACATCATCTTTTGGGCCAACTTGCCAATCTTATGTGACTGCGCCCTGCGTTTTGTTGTCTTTCGTTGAAATTCAAGCCCAAACAAAGTCCTGGCGCATCTCCGGAAGCTTCCTCGATAAAGCCTCGCAGGAGGACCCTCTCGACATTTACAAACTGTTCCCTCCACGGTACCCTGCACCACCTACATCGCTCGTGGACAAAGACTACCTTTCTCCCTCTGGGTGCGGGCGCTATTGACTTGACGACAGTCCCGATTTGTCGCAAACCCCATATCTGCCTCCGAACCGTCATGACGATCGAGTCTTCTCAAGTTCCGTTCCCTCCGCCTTGACGACGACATAGACGACCTACGTTATAAGACACACCACAACCATGTTCTCCTCGGCACTCAAGTCGATATCATCGACCAACATCACCGCGAACTACTCCATCTCCTCGACTCAGACGTCGTCCGCCGGCCCATGGAAGATTTACGATTGCAAGAAGAAGTCCACAGGGAAACCATATAGCGTATTTGTCTTTGACAAGAAGGGACTCGACAACCATGGCAGCAGCCTCGGCCGATCGAGCGCGTCCGCTTTCAAGCGAGCCACGGAGGAGGTCATCGAGCGCCTGAAGAAGGAGGCCTCCAGCTTGGCGAAGCTGCGACACCCCAGTGTTCTCGAGCTCGTTGAGCCAGTGGAAGAAACAAGAGGCGGTGGGCTACAATTCGTCACAGAAGCTGTCACAGGCTCTCTGGCGGCTCTGCTGCAAGAGAAAGACGACCAGGAGCGGAGTGGTGGAGTCGGCGGCCGGTCGAGCCGTTATGTCACCGAGGATTCGGACGGTGTGCGCCGACGGCGCGAGTTGGAGATTGACGAGCTCGAGATCCAGAAGGGTCTCTTGCAGATCAGCAAAGCGCTGGAGTTCTTGCACGAAAACGCTGGGCTGGTACACGGAAACTTGACACCAGATGCCATTGTTGTGAACGCCAAGGTCAGTTCAACGGATCGGTCTTGATAGCTTTTACATTGTTGCTAACTCGAAACAGTCTGACTGGAAAATCAGTGGTCTCGCCTTCTGCGCGCCGTCCGAAGGGTCCAATAAGCCGACCTCTTTTCAACCCATCAGCCTGTCAGAAGTGCTCAACCCAGATCCTCGGCTACCTCGATTTGTGCAGCTGAACCTCGACTACACCTCTCCTGACTTTGTCATTGACAACAACTTCACCAGCTTTGCCGACATGTTCTCATTAGGTCTCCTAGCGGTGGCCCTTTACAACTCACCACATCAGTCACCCATAGAAGCTCACGGCAGCTTATCGACATACAAGAGAACCTTCGCCTCATCATCGACAGTCCCGTCTGCTACCAACCAATTCTTGTCATCACGGCCTTTACCCAAAGAGCTGGTTCAACATGTCTTACCGCGCCTGATAACACGACGACCTGCTCAGCGTCTCACAGCAAAGGAATTTCAAGAAAGTGAATACTTCAACAATGTGCTTGTTTCAACAATCAGGTTCCTGGACGCTTTCCCAGCAAAGACTCCAAACGAGAAAGCTCAGTTCATGAGAGGATTAGTCAAGGTCATGCCGTCGTTCCCCAAGACTGTCATGGAGAAGAAGTTGTTACCAGCGTTGCTTGAAGAGATGAAAGACAAGGATCTAATAGCGCTGATTCTTCAAAATGTCTTCACCATCGTTGATTTACTGCCTTCTGCAAGGAGAGTCTTTGCCGAAAAAGTCCGGCCAGCTCTGAAAGCAACATTTGCCCCACCTCCGAAGAAGGACCAGGCTCCTGAGAGAGACCCAACCAAGGATGCCGGGTTGATGGTTGTGCTTGAACACATGTCAACAATCTGCAACAATTGTAACGGCAAGGAGTTCACTGATGGTAAGAAACACAACAGCATGAATTAGTGCGTTTGGTGAAACATACTAACAACCATTTAGACATATTGCCGGTCGTCTATGCCGCAATTGAAGCACCAACACCGGCCGTTGTTGACGCGGCTCTGAGAGGTCTACCATCTATTCTGCCAGTTCTCGATTTTAGCACCATCAAGAATGAGCTATTCCCAGTCATTGCGGCCGTGTTCAGCAAAACGAGTAGTTTGGCCATCAAAGTGCGCGGTTGTCAAGCATTCGTCGTCCTGTGTGGCGGAACATCAGACGCAGAAGACGATGGCCTCGATGCTTTCGGCACTTCAAAGAAGAAATCAACTTCCTCCTCCAGCATGCTGGATAAATACACGATGCAGGAGAAGATTATCCCGTTGATCAAGGCCATCAAAACAAAAGAGCCCGCGGTCATGATGGCAGCTCACGGCGTCCTCCGGGTTGTGGGTGAAGCAGCGGATGCCGAGTTTGTGGCGATTGATATTCTGCCCATCCTGTGGCATATGAGTCTCGGGCCTTTACTCAACCTCAAGCAGTTCCAGAACTTCATGGACCTCATCAAGAAGTTATCCAAAAGGGTGGAAGACGAACAGACTAAAAAGTTGCAAGAGCTCTCTGGTACCAACGGCAGCACAGCCGGGACTAATGAAGATTTCATGGCTTTCGGCGGCGTCAGCGGGACCTCTTTCGACGTATCCAATGGGGGCACAGAAGACGATTTCGAGAGTCTGGTCAAAGGCAAAACAACACGATCTTCAACTTCAGATGCATTCTCTAGCTGGGAAGAAACCCCCACGGCGGCGGCCAGAGTCACCTCGCCCGCGCCCGGGAGTAGGTCAGCAACTCCGGCCTTTGCTTGGTCAACTCCGAGTCCTACCCAGACAGCACCACCTCCGGCGCCTAAACCTCAACCTAGTTTCCGGACGGTGACGCCGGACATGGGTTCTTTCCAAGCTATGACTCCAACATCGACTCAGTTCTCTAAACCGCTACAGCCAACTACGCAAATGTCGCAGCCAGCGGCACAGCCCAGTTCATCGATCAACTGGTCAACAGCGTCGGCGGCAACGTCCAACCCGTGGTCGTCGTTGTCGTCGTCAATACCGACGCCGGCCTTCTCGGCCGGTAACTCCATGTCGCCACCTCCCAGCTCCGCTTTTGGGGGAATGAGCACGCCCATGTCCAACATGTCGCTTGGTGGGCAGAGACCAGGCATGTCGCAGTCATCTTCGTTTTCCTTGCCGCCGCCACCAGCCGGCACTTCGACGGGCTTTTCCGGATCTTCCGGGTTTAGCCTACCACCGCCTCCCAGTCACACGCCGCCTGTGCAATCAGGCTTGAGCGCTTTCAGCAAACCTGCAGCTAGCACCGGCATGGGCATGATGAGTCAACAACCGATGAATGGTCTGAACAGCATGGGCTCGCGGCCTGGTATGGGTATGAGCATGGGGTCTAGTGGCAGCATGAACAGTATGATGAATAGCAACATGGGCATGAACGGTATGGCTGGCCTTCAGCAACAGCAGCAGCAACAGCAGCAGCAGAAGCCACCGCAAAAGAGCGGGTTGGATAAGTACGAGAGTCTGATTTAGGGGAGGGGTTTTCTGGAAATAGCACAGCTTTGGTTGCAGTCAGGGCATCCCAGAGTTGTTTACATGATACACACACATGAGTTGAGACTTGGTAGAGTTGTACTTTCTCGGGGGCGTTGAGGGACCGTGCCAGATTTTGCTTCAACGATTCGAAGAGGAAAAATGCTAAATGATTCCAAGGTGATATCCATATGTGCCAATTGAGAGCAGTAAGTAAATGGGAGAGAAGTGACTGATCGTATAGAATTAGATTAAGAAATTGTCACGACTCAAGGGGTTACGGATTGCGCGGTAGCAAAACCGAAGGCAAAAAAAAACGGGAATTAGTGTTTGTGGGCCGAGTTCCCCCGCAAAGTCAAGATTTTGTGAGTTGCGTGGACTGAACAGGTTTATTGGCGTGGGCACATGACGAACAAAATGGTAGACTTGCCGGCGATGTCTGTCCGCCAAGAACAGAATCAAGTCGATAACGGCGGAACCCCGGGGTCGACTTTCAACAGCAAGATTTGCTCTAGTCAATAGGACATGGACATACATTGCCAGTTGATCATTTGGAGCAGCATGATTTACGGCACTTTGTTCGAATGAATGGTGTGTTTTGGGAGAGGAACGGATATGTTTCATGAAAGGGGAGGTCCATGATGCGATGATTTGCGGAGGAGTGATACCTACGGTCCCCGCCCGGAGGCGTCTAGTCACGCAAAATCCATGTCGAGAGTCGGCGACCACTTCTTGACGGTTCGCCATCAGTCGCCGTTTCTATGCTTCTCTACCCACTGGGTAGGAGTTGGATTACTTCGATAAGTTCGAGAAAATATAAACTCTCCCCCTATGGTGAACATAACAATGGGATTATGATGAATGGTATACGGCTCAGGAGGATACGGCCGTGAAGTGGTCGACGTTCCCGATAACCCGCAGATCCCTCCTGGCATTTGGTTCACTTCCAGACAAGTGTAACATATTCAGGTTTACCGCCCAGTGGTATCTAATAAAGGGCTGTTCACCCTCCAACAGAAGCATGAGCAGGAGGCGTCGAGCTCACTGGCACGACTGGCTGGCATCGGGTTGGATTGGTTAATTAGTGTTTGTTCTGGTAACGCAACCAGCCGGGTGGTGGTGGTGGTGGTGGTGGGCGACCGACCGAACCGCGCCGGTCGGTCACATGCAGGACGGAGCCCACTCCTCCCCCAAAACCCAGGAACAGAGTTGGGTTTCCTTCCTTTGAGAGAGCTGAGGTGAAGTAGGTAGGGCATAAAAACTTGGTGCAGGCTCTAAAACTCGTTTACCCGCCGTTCAGAGAAAATAGGTACTACTGCGGCATATGATTGTCGTTGCATATTTGGGTGGTGGTGGGCTGAGCCACGGTTCTCCTTGGATGTAGAGGTATCGGATGGTTTTTTTCTTCGAATTCAAGTTGGTAAAGTCGTGTTTGAGAACATGGTCCCATCACACGATAGAAAGAGGTAGTTTTCTTTCTTAAAGGGATGTATCCGTATTGTTCAGAAAACTGGTCGGTGAAGTACCTGGTTTGAACTGTTTGGCGTTTTTGCTCGATTTAGTCGATTTCCCATTGTGATGGAGTTCGGCAAGGTTAGATAAGGGGGTGAGTACATTTCTTGACGCCAAGGGGGGGTTAATCATCCTGGGAGCGTCACTCGCTCGGATCAAACAAGTTCAAGCCAAGGTCACAGCAGAGTCAGAGAATCGCCTGGAACGGAGCAACACGATAGAAACTCCAAAACATGCTCTTCTTGATGGGAACAGTCCGCCGCAGTTGATGCGATTGTTAAGGAATTGTCAATACGGTCGTAAGTTGATGCAATTTTACGATTTCTTCCATGAGATGATGACAGCGATTGTCACCGATGGGATCAATGGAGAGAGAGGTATATTCGGAAGGGTGGCGGGTACAGTAGGTACGGTGAGCATGACGGATCCATCTGATTGGAGACTTGGACTCGTGTACGGAGTACGTGTGAGTGTTTGTGTGTGTCTTGGACCCGGTCACCAGTCTACCACCACCCCGGTCGGACGTTAGGCCCAGGTAATCAAGGTAATTTTTATATCACAACAAGGACAAGAGCGAGAGACGTCGCCGCGAAGGGGAGGGGAGGGGAAACCCGAGATGGCATCAAGCGTGGCAGATCCGGTAGAGAATCTTATCATCGATGCTGATAAGCGAGAGACCATTTGAGAGGATGGCCGAGTTTCATTTGGAGCCAGGTTCCGAAACTCTCTTGTGGAAGGACAGGTACGCGGTTCAGGACGGAGGATGGACGATGGATGATGGATGTGTGTTTGGTTACTAGATTTGGTTGGACGGAATTGTACTCTGTACACGCACACCCGCACACACTCTCTCTTGCTCTCTTCCTGTTCCTGCGCTCTCACTCGGACAGGTATTTGAGCATTTCATCCAAGGGGCGATTCGAAGTAGTCCAGGTGGAATTTCACCTGTCTGTGCCTGACTGGCACATTGTGTTCGGGTTCTCCTCACATACCTTCGTCGCTAGAGATAGATAGATGCCTTGGCCCAGTTCACGTATCTAACTTAACCTTGCCCCGACTTGACACACTTTTGACAGCGCGCTATGCTGATAGTTTATTACGTCTCATCCATCATTCAAATGTGCAGCTCCATCGTGTCGATGGAAACGTAGGGAACTTGGAAGGCAGTACATTGGAATAACAAGGATCGGATTACAGAGCAGGCATGGCTAGTTAGCATGGCATTATTGGATTTGTATTCGCGCCTGCGCTCGCGTCTGCGCCTGCGTCTGCATCTGCCTCAGCTGAGTATTGCTGAACTACGCTTCCATGCTTTCATGTACCTTTAGTCTTCTAAGACGGATCCCCCCGGTCAACCTTTTTTGCCTTTTTGATTGCGCTTCCCGTTTTTACCTGGCTTGCTTTTCTGGGTGCTGGACTGCGCAGGTTGTCGTACTCATCCGTTCGTCGTATCTGTACTTTCTTGTCTTTTAATTACTTTTGACATGTAACTCGGCCGGTCGCTAGCTCACTCAGTCATCTAGTCACTCACTCTCAAAGCCACGTTCCAACCAGAATACCTTTTATTACCCACTGATTTACCTACTCGATCGTCTCTTGGGGGGCCCAGATCTCGTTCGCCCGCTTCCGTGATTTCCCTTTCTTCTCTCCCTCCGGAACTCATATCCCCTTCTCTGTGCAGAATACACGCACACACACACACACACACACCCACACACAAGTGCTATTACTTGCTAGCCCATTTTTTTCTCATTAGTCCAGCTTCCTTCCCTTTCGATTGCTTACCTCTCTCCTCTCCCTCTTGCTCTTGCCATCTCTGCCCTGCCTGGCCTCTTACCTTACCTTACCCTTTTTCTCACCAAAGGTAGTAGTCATTGAGGTACTCTACACCTGAACCGACGACGACGTTAGCTCGCCTTTTTTGCTCAACCTCCTTCCCACATTCCCCTTCCACTTTTTTCCCTTTCCCCCTTCCCATCCTATCCGGAGACCGGGTACCCAATCTGAACAAGTCCGTCCATCAATTCCAGGCCGTCGCTTCCGTTCAGTCTCGGTCGGCTGGTTTCTCGCCAACCCAAACCCAACTCTACAACTCAGTCTCTCTCCCAGTCTCCCTACCATCAGACGCGACTCAGAGGGAAACCAACTTCCGGTCCACCCACCACTTCTTCCATCTTCCACTTGACTTGGCGTCTAATCTCGCCGTCTCACCAACTCGACTCGTCGTTTGTTGCTTCTTCGCCGCCGCCGCTTTTCACGCAGAATTGCAACTGATCCCATCTGCTGCTGCTTACCTGCTTGCTTGTTCAACAAAAGACCAGGGTTCAGTGTCATATTCGTCACGCCACCCCAGGGAGATAACCGACAAGTTTCGAGCGAAAAAAAGGCGGAACTCGGCCACCACACTCAACCTCACTCACAGCCAAGGCATCCTTCTTTTAACCCTCCTTCTCACACCCTGAGGCCCGACCGTCTACAACTTTGTCAATCTTCTTACCCATCCGCGGGCACACCTGACTTTTTACTTTCTCTCTTCTCTTAGCACAAATAGCATCAAATCGTCAATCGGTCTATTTGGACTCGAACGAGACAGTTTGGTAAGAGCGGAACAGAGAGAAAAAGAGGTCCAAGTGTCGTTTCCCTCTCTTACGCATTTCTGCAGCCAACTCTTGTCGCTCTTCATTTCCCCTTCATCCAGCCCATACCAGCCCAGTCTTTGTCCAGGCTATTACCCGCCTTGTCTCACAAATAAACCTGTCGGGTGGTCGGCAGTCTCGCACCCCATCCATACAAGCAGACACGTACGCCCAGCTAGTTGATCCTGCTTCACTCAGCTTGGGTTTCCGTCAACTCTCAAGCTTCATCTTATCACCTATTCTCCGCGAAGGGAGGTTTCATCAACAAACCGTCATTCCTCCGCACCTTCCCAACTAACCGCACAGAGCAGTTGTCAACAAGACGAAGCTCAAGATGAAGACTCAACGGGCGGCGACAAAAGCCGTCACGGTCAAGAAGCGCGGCAACAACAAACACAAAAACGCCGCGTACAAGGTGGATAAGTTTGAGGTCCCCGAGAACCCAACTCTCGATGACATCAAGCACGCCGTCGGTCTTCAGGAACTGGAAGAACGCGTTAGGGATGCCAAAGAATCTGCATGGGAAACCGACTCTCTGTTGGAGGATGCCATCGCTGAGATGAGCGACGCAAAACTCTCTTCGGATGGTACGTTTATCTCAGTCATTCACTCACTCCTTCATTATGTAGGCGAGCATGCAAATCCCTTGCTATACCCTGGGATTACGTGTTCCCTTTATTACTCACCCCCAATCGCTTCTACGACTTGAATGCTAACTCGTGCCTAAAAGATCCTAACAGCTGCACGCCTGACGAGGCTATGGGCCTGCGCCACCAATTAAGAGCGCTTGGTCCCGCAGAATTCTGTAGAAGAACCGTCGATGCCGGGCGCTATACGGCCAAGAAGCTACTGTCAGCCTTTGGCCTCAAGCCTCCTGCCTTCCTTGAAGGTGCCGAAGATGAGGCCTACTTCAGCCTCTTGTCGCTGGCCATCAGCCGAGAGTTGTCTAAACGCGCCAAGTTGTTCCGCTTCAACACGGTGGACGATGCCGTGGACCTGCTGCAGCATAGCAAGAACATCATCGTCCTCACCGGTGCCGGCATCTCTACCTCGCTCGGCATCCCCGATTTCCGCTCAAAGGGCGGTCTCTACTCTCAACTAGAGCACCTGGGCCTCAACGACCCGCAAGAGGTGTTTGATATTTCCGTCTTTAAGCAAGACCCGACCATCTTCTATACCGTTGCCAAGGACATTCTACCGTCGACTAACCGCTTTACACCGACTCATGCCTTCATCTCCATGCTTGAGAAGAAGGGCAAGCTGCTTACCAACTACACTCAGAACATTGACAACCTTGAGGCCAAGGCAGGCATCTCTCAGGATAAGCTCATCCAGTGCCACGGTTCCTTTGCAACCGCAACCTGCGTCCAGTGCCGCTTCAAGTGCGACGGCGAAGAGATCTTCGACGACGTCAAAGCTGGCAAGATCCCGCGTTGCCCACGCTGCATCCAGAACCTTCGCCCCAACGGCAGCAGCAAGCGCAAGCGCTCAACGGGCACCGAGAGAAAGCGCCGCAGGTTCAGCTCCGACGACTCGACGTCAGACGGCGAGTACGACATCCCCAGCGTGGGCGTCATGAAGCCCGACATCACCTTCTTCGGCGAGGCGCTGCCCGATGAGTTCAGCAGGCGTCTGACGGAGCACGATCGCGACAAGGCGGACCTCGTCATCGTCATCGGCACGAGTCTGAAGGTGACGCCGGTATCTGAAATAGTAAGCTGGCTGCCGGCCAACATCCCCCAGATCTACATCTCGCGCCAGGCCGTCAACCACATCAACTTTGACATTGACCTGCTGGGCGACTGCGACGTCGTTGTCTCGGAGCTGTGCCGCCGCGCCGGCTGGCCGCTGGAGCACGAAATGGTGCCCCAGGACCAGGTCGTCAAGGTGAACCCGGACGGCGGGTGCGTGAGTAGACACGTCTTTGAGGTCGTCAACCCTAAGCAGCCGCCGCCGCCGCCTATGCAGCAAATCGCCAAGCCTGAGACTGAGTCCGAGACGGCGAAACCGACCAAGGGACCGAGAAAGCCTAGAAAGTCGAGAGACTCGGTCTGAGACTGAAACTTCTCTTGCAGTTGTCACCATCGCTCTCTCATGCTCACTTTTGCTTCTTTTTGTCCGCTCATTGTCTCTCGACCTACAGATGCCCCTTCCCCCTCTCTCTCTCAGACATTTGCATCTGAGATCTGAGAGCGCCTCAGGCGGCAACACGTCAATCAATGGTTTAGAAGGGGGAAGGAAAGCCCATACACGGTACCTGATTCGACGAAACGGCACAAGGCCCCCCCAAATCACATAAGACGGAACGGCACTATTGCCGGTAGCAGCAATGCAAGCGTCAACGAAAAGCCTGTTACCACAACCTACACTCTGTCACTGACTGCCCGCCCCAGTCCAGTCTCGGGGATTTGTGGCTGCGGACTATCGCCACGTCGCCCCCTTCTCCGTTTTGGCCAGACACTGCGCGTCAGGCATAAATGGTTTTTTTTGCTCCCCTATTACTCCACAGCACAACAGCACCACTTCGGTCACCGTACCTGAGTTGCGGTCTGCGCAAACCATCCCACCATAACTAATTTCGACCCTTTTTGAGTCTTCAAATGGCAACCAAAATGGTCCCCATGGTTTTCCTTCAGGGAAACAACCGGTTCATAAGCTGAAACCTCAAACCCGAGGTTTTCTTTTCTTTTCCGATACCACAGATTGCGATTCTAGCCTTTCTTTTCATTTTGTCTTTCTCTCTTTTTTTTTGTTTGCTTGTAATTCGCGGGCTGAATGGGGGGGAACAGGAAGAGTGTGGCGGAAACCGGCGTTTGAGGCTCTCGCGACTTTGCACAGTCTGGTTTGTCTTATGTTTTTTTTTTGTCAGAATACCTAGAGAGAGGGCCCTAGAGAGGCTTTTCCCTTTGTTTTACGCGCGCGCACCCAAATGTCCGATTTTCTCTAGAGACAGAAACACCAGACAGAAGGTCCTCTTTTTTTTTTTGATAGTTGATCAATGGATTGCAATTATCACAATCGAAGTTGTCTACTTGTACACTTTTGATGATGCCTAACCCAAGCTATCAGGCGTAAGGTAAGTATTAACCCCAAGGAGCTTGAGCTTGAATAACGGCCTAGCGATGCCTCGCCGATGAGAATCGAATGAGGCAGCACTGGTGACTCAACTGTCATGTTCCCCCTCCGTCTTACATGCGCCAAAGTGCATAAACCCCCGCGAACCACAAATGCTCAAAAGTCGAGTGGTCAACCCAAGGCTGTTCAGGCAGCCTGCTTGTGTGTGTGTGTGTGTGTAACTACTACCCCAAAAATATACCTTACAAGGCAGCTGAAGAAGCGAATCTGCTATACGAATGAATTGCTGAGAATGACTCGATGCTTGGCAAGGATGGGGGGGGGTTCAAGGTGGATTGTTTGCTTTACCTATGTCTGCCTAGTAGGCTCCCTACTACCTACTGTCCGTTCCTACGCATTGAGCGAGCCGTACTTTCTCATCATCTCGCGTTGTTCAACCTACCCCTTTTTTCAAGTATCGATGATGGCGGTAAAGCACCATATATTCAAGCATAAAAGAGGTCAGACGTCAAGACTATGCGGGACGGGGCGCGGCATGGTTTACCGCCATACAGAGAGGGTAATTAAAAAATAAAAATAAAAGGGGGATTCGGTGCTTCCCAACGTCGGCGCTTACACCTCGAACTTGCCTCTTGATAACCCGACTCCATGTCCCTTATACCCGCCTGTGAACAATCTCAAAATGGAGCAAGAATTAAAGACAAGACTGAAGACGGACGTAGTGACGCCATCTAGCAGTTGAAGGGATACCGGAATCAGTGACACCGCCACCAACCAAGTCTTCCCAAACATCTCTTTTACCGGCAGCAGTGCTTTTCCAATATCTGAATCGGGGTTTTTGCTATTGCCCGGCATCAGAGGAGGGCTCCTTTGATAGCTCGTTTCTTGGTGTACTATGATGGCATAAAGTCAGAGTCCAGGCATTCGGATTTCCCAGCGCGTGAGTAACTTACCTTCCATGTCCCATGGTGACGGGGTAAATGATTCAATACGGCGAGATTCAACCATGAGAGGTCTGCTTGATGAGGCCTCGACTGATTACTATCGTGGGTGGTGAAAAAATGCTGTCGACAATGAGATGACTTCACCCCTCAAGGGTTGTTCCCTCAGCTACCATCTCGATCATTACATCATTATCTACAGGAGTTGCCAAGTATTTCCGTTTTGTTTACTGTCCTGGTTATTTCATTTACAACTCTGGTACTCGCTCATCACTTCCCTTGTATCATGGACGGAGAATCAAGAATGTGGTCAAGTCAGGTCGTTAAGAATATTTTTTACTGATTATGAGTTCTTGTCAATATGTTCAGGCGTTTGCCATGACGTATCCTATCCGGTCTGCGAGTCGGCCATCGGTCCAGTAATAATGTGAAAGCAAAAAAGAGAGGGGCCAGAGCCTCCTCAAGACGGTATGACCGGTTGTCGCACAACCCCGCGCAAGAGAATCAAATACTCGTACAAATACATTGCGCGCTCTGAAATTTTTGTTTTCGCTCACAAACTCCACGTGACCATATGTAAGTGATGTTGCCAGTACCGGGCAACAGTTAATGTACTCCTCATTGCTTGGCCGTCTTCTCATCTCCGGCCTTCTCGTTTGTGGTTTCCTCCCGGGGTTCTTCTCTGATCGAGTTCTCTCGAGAGACCCCTCTCCTAACATTGTTGTCAGAGTCGTCGCTATCCCGACGTCTCCGGTCAGCCGGCTGCCAGTTGGCGGCAATGCCAGCAGCCACGATGCCCGCCATGACGGTAGGAGCACCGAGGGCCGAGTTAGAGCGGCTGCGCGAGCTGCGAGAGCGCTTGCGGGACTCGGGTGTTGCGGCAAGTGAGCCGAAGCTATCCTCTCGTGTTGGTGTAGAGGGTGACTTGATAGAGTTGCTTCGCGAGTGTGACGGGCTGCGCGAGCGGGCAAAGGTTTCGCGAGGGTGCTGTACTGCGAACTTGAGGTTGTTCAAGCGTCCACCCTTCATGCGCTTGATGAACGCCAATTCATCGCGGACATCCGACAGTGGCTCTGGGTACATCTCGAATTGCTCCTCGTCTGAGACTGTGAGGCCCGGAACAGAGTCCTTGGCACGGCGTTTGAGATAATCGGGGATGAGACGCTCAATCAGAGCGTCAGGGATGAGGCGGATGACAACGCCAAACGGAATCGAGATCAAGCCGAGAATAATGGCCATAGCCCACTGAGTCCCGGTTTGCCCCTCGTCGGCGATCTGGAATGCGGCTCCGCCAAAGAAAATAATGAGAATCTGTCCGCCAATCATAATGGCGCTGATGCCAACGAAGAACAAGTTCTTTGTCATGCCCTCAAAGATGTTGAAGTTGTTGTCCAAGCGACGGTTGCTGCGAAGTTGTTAGTTTTTCAGGTTCGATATGACGAAGAGAGGGTTTACACTTACTTCCACTGGTTGAAGATCTGCATCCACACAAAGGTGTTGAATACCAAGGTGGCGATCTGATCATCAGGGATGTGCTCCGGACCAGGAACAACGGTTTCCTTTCCATAGAAAAGCATGAAGGTAATTGCGAGTTGGTACACAGCCTGTCCGAGAATCATCTTCCACATCGTGGTGGTGATGATCGAGGCATTGCGTCTTTCAGGCTTTCTGTCAAGAACACTATCCTGGGGAGGGTCCGTGGCGAGGGCAAGGGCTGCGAGCGTGTCCATGATCAAGTTAACCCAAAGCAGTTGCACAGCAGTGAGGACTGAAGTACTGCTCACAGCAGTAACGAACGTGAGAATGACGGCGGTAACGTTAACCGTAAGCTGAAACTGGAGGAATCGTTTGACGGCATCGTTGACAGCACGACCCCACTTCAGAGCCTTGACAATAGAGTTGAAGTTGTCGTCCATAAGAATAATCGAAGAGGCTTCCTTCGCAACCTCAGTACCCGCAATTCCCATGGAAAAGCCAACATCGGCTGTCTTGAGCGCAGGGGCGTCATTGGTTCCGTCGCCGGTCACAGCGACAATGTCTCCCTTTGCCTTGAGGCGCTTCACCAAAATGCGCTTGTCCTCAGGGCTAGAGCGGGCGAGAACGCAGAGGCGCGGGATAATGGCCTCTTGCTCGGACTTGGTGAGGTTGCGGAACTCAGGACCCTCCATGACAAGTCCATTAGGTTGCAGGATACCACATTCCTTGGCGATAGCTTCAGCCGTAAGCTTGTTGTCTCCGGTGACCATGCGAACCATCACGCCCGCCTTTTGGCACAGCCTAACAGCCTCGGGAACTCCCTCGCGCAAGGGGTCCTGAATGCCAACCATACCAATGAAGGCCATAGTTCGGAACATGAAGTCAAAGTCGACTTCGCCTCCATCACCGCGGCGGACATTGCGAGGGGGCCACTGTTCGAAGTCCCTGTAGGCGATGCCAATGGTTCGGAGTGATCGGGAAGCGTAGGTGTTGATGAGAGTGTTGATCGTCTGGAAGTTGGCCTCGGTCATCTGGACGAGTGTGGCATCCTGAGAAGGGTCACGGAAAATCTGGTTGCACTTTCCGAGGACAATCTCGGATGCACCCTTTACGTACACTCGGGCACCACCTCCTGGGAGCTGAACGACGATTCCCATACACTTGCGACCAGAATCGAAGGGGACGAGTTGAAGAATCTTTGCGTTCTCGCGTTCCTCAGCGACAGGACCCATGCCAAAGTAATCACGCGCCAAGAGAAGCAGCGCAGTCTCTGTTTTCGATCCAACGTATGTCTTCTCGCCGTCAACCTCTCCTTCAAAGGCCGTAGAGTTGAGCGAGATCGAGTTGACGAGGATTTCCTTGACCGGTGCACTGAGCATCTTGGCGAATTCCGCAACGGATATGTCAGCAGACGCATCGAGAGCGGAATCGTCGCCATCGTTGGAGCCGGAGGGGCGCAATCCGCCAAATCGATGAGTAGTACCAATAGTGCCAGCAACCACCTGCATCTTGTTTTGTGTGAGGGTACCGGTCTTGTCGGAGCAAATAGTGTTGGCATTTCCCATAACCTCACAAGCCTTGAGATGCCTGACGAGGTTTTGATCCTTCAGCATACGTCTCGTGGCAAACGATAGGGCGAGCGTGACGGCCAGGGGAAGTCCTTCGGGGACTGCGACGACGATAATAGTAACAACAGTAATGACGATGTTAATAAAATCCTGTCCCTTTTGAGCTGAGGTAACGGAAGGTGGTTGCTTGGGGAGCTTGACGAGGAATTCGATGAACAAAACGATGAAGAGCAGTAGACCTGCAGCACCTCCGAGCTTGGCGATGTATTCGGCAATGATATTGAGCTTCGACTGTAAGGGTGTAACCTCGGGGTCCTCGTCCAAAGCCATGAGAGTCTTGCCGAAAGAAGAGTGGATGCCGGTCGACGTAACCATGAAAGTACCAACGCCTTCCATGATTCTGGCACCAGATTGAATGAAGGGATCCAGCTTCTTGGGGTCATCGCCGTTCTGGATAGCCGTAAACACTTCCTCGCCATTCCGTTTCTTGATGATGTCCGATTCTCCCGTAGCTTGAGACTCGTCACACTTGACATTGAAGCCCTCAATCAAGATTCCGTCGACGGGAATCAGATCACCCGGCTCAAGGTGGATAACGTCTCCGGCCAAAATATCGTGTACTGACAGTTCAATAGTCTTTCCCGAGCGGACTACTTTGACGTTGCGATCCTTCTTTCTCTTGTTCAACTTTGCGAATTGCCTCTCTTTGCTGTAATCGTTGAGGGATCCCACGATAACAACGATGGCGATGGCGACCACAATAGCAACACCTTCAACCCATTCGACCTTTGGTTCACCGGGAGCGTGCGGCAAGCCCACTGTCTGGTAGATGCCGATAGCGAGTGAAACTACCGCGGCAGCTGTCAGAAGCATGAGAACCTTGTCTTGGTATGTGATCCACATTAGCTGAAGAAGAGTCTTGCCCTTCTTCTCAGGGATCCGGTTATCCTTGAAAACGCGCTTGCGGTCGGAAAAGCCGCCGTCGTCATGCTTAGCATGGTGACCAGTGTTTTGTCTCGCGGGGGCCGTTGGGGTTTCGCTCTCCTTGAGATCCCCAGATGAGTGAATGTGAGCCGTTGCCTCGTTGAAAGAGACTTGACCATCCAGGTGGACCTCATCCAAGCTCAATCCGGCCTTACGATCACTGCGAAGACCCTTGGCAATGCCAGTTAGTCCTCCGAGAGCGTAGTATGCGCCCAGGCTTTTCGGGTTGAACATCTTATTCAACTGGCCAGGCGTAAAGGCAAAAGGGTTGTTCTCCGCAATAAAGTCTCCTTCGCTGCCCTTGTCTGGACGCAGGGCGCTGTCGTCGTTCATAATCTTCTCGTTGGACATGGGGCTGGGCTTCACTGTCTTTTCGGTTGACTGACTCAGTACAGCAATAGTCTCGCCCTGGGAAGACATGTCGTCGGAATCGATAGAGTTCTGCCGGGAGCGCAAGTTGCTGGGAACAGCCAGGAAGGCACGGTCGTTGCCTCTCAATGTCGCAACAGGACTGGACACATTGTGCGGGCTTTGGGGCCTGCTGCTGTCCTTGGCGTCGAACGAGGTGTCGGCGCGAAGCTTCGGTTTCGGTGGTTTCTCTTGAGAAGCTGACCACGGAGCACCAGCACCTTCCGGTACGGTCGTCGGGCTGACTGGCTCATCTTTGGGCGATCCAGTTGAGTTGGACGCGTCTTGCTGAGTCTCCTGAGCCATGGCTGGTGCAGGATTTGTGGTGTCGGCGCCGGTGGCAGACGGATCTATGGTAATGGTCGGGCTATGAAGGAATCAGTCAGTTCTATATCCTCCAACTATTTACTAGAAGGCAAACAGATGCCGTGGACCGCAAACGTACGCTCGATTTCTCCGTTGCGGCGCAGGGCCATCTTCTGGGGTAGAATTCGGATCCATGATTCCCGATCAAGCTCAACACTGCCGCCTTGGTGCGGCGCCGTGTGACGGTAAAGCGAGGCTGATGGAGGCCGCCAGTGTGGACGAAAGAAGTGGTAGCGTGAGGCTGTGCCGGTAAAGGAAGGAGGCAGCCGGGCGGCGAAAGGAGCGACAATGACCTGAGGAGGTAAAACTATTTTTTTTTTGAAGATATAACAGCGAAAACCTGTCGTCGATATTGTAGACTAGGTTGATTTTGGGGCGCGTGTTGTGGTTGTATTATGCGGAGCGTAAAGGCGCGTGTTGTGGTGTGATATCGATGAAGGTATCCGTGGTCGTTGGTCTCGGCAGTGGATATCGGCGAGTGTATGAATACACGACGTCCCAAGATGGATAGAAGTGATTTTGGTAAGGGAAAGGATGAGTTGGCTAATGTTCCCTTTGTCTCACTCTACATTGCGGGATGCAAAGGAATGGGCAGCCAGGCAAGCAGAGAAAAGAGGAAAGGCGAGGGAGTGATGCGATGGGAGGAAGATGGGACGTTGAAGTCCGTTTCAATCAAACCAAATCCAAATCCAAATCCAAAGCGCCTACTCGGAGCCAAGACTGGAGTAAGAAGAGCTTTGAGACAAGCCGGCGTCTAGGTGGCTGGCTGTCTTGGTAGTGATGTATCCGTACGGCCTGGGGGAAAGAGGGACCTTGGGGGCAAAAGAATGAAATCCAGGTCGACACGACAGGACGGGATGAATGAGGAGGTTTTGCCCCTTGTCACAGTCTCCTCTGGAAGGGCATATCGAGGACGAGTGGGAGAGGCGGCGGTTGTGCCATGCCATGGTCTAGAAAAGGTGAGTGAGAGTTTGGATCTCCCACATGTGGTGCCAAGAAGGAGGCAGTGCAAAGAAGTACACCTTATTGGACGGAGAGAAGGTCCGTACAGGGGTGAGCCGGTGCACTTTGTACTGGGAGCGCTGCTACTCCGTTTGCGGCTTAGTCCGCCCGTCGTTGCTGGAAGGGGTCCCAGTAGGTAGCTTGTCAGGAGAAAGAAGCTCATCAACGCCGTACATCCCATGTATCACCTGCTGCCACCTAGTAGGTATTCACCACTATCTGCCACCTAAGGCTACTCCCAGCTACATCTACTCCGTAATGCCTGCCTCGCCCTCTCCTCATCACCCAAAGGGTGGGAAGATCCACTCCGGCCCCGTGTGGGGCAACTTGCCATTTCACACGGTACGTTGCCAAGGCCAAAGGTACCTTTTTTTTTCTTCCATCCCTTATTACACTAGACCCTTCTCTCTCGTATGCTGCCTACCTTACCAATACCTACATCCTGGCACTGCCAGTGTGAGTGAGTGACGCCCTTTCCAGCCGAGTCCTTCACATTCATTCCATCAGAACAGACCATCTTTTGCTTTTTTCATGGGTTGGGCCCCTTGAGAAGTTCACATTCGATCAAATGACGCCAGCCGAACCGCCTAGATTTCGAATATCCCGATCCTCCGTTCCCCAGACATTGAATACGGTTTGCTTCTGCTGACTCTACAGCTCGCCAAACCTCATTCCTCAACTTACTACACATACTCCAAACATCTAGGCGGTTACCACTGCTACCTTGGCTATATATCATGCGTAACCAGGTGGACTTATTGGCCAAGGGTGTTTTGCTTGGAACAGGCCATGAATCAGGATGACAACACGACGACTGCCAACTGGATACCTAACATCTATGGAGTAATTACTTCGTAGTCGCTCTTATCAAATCCAACGGATACCTCACGCTCCACAAGTCCACCGCCGGCACCACCTCAACTTTGACAGGAGCGTTTCCATGTTTCTGCTTCTTTCGATTGCAGCTGCATACACGCACGCATCTGGTTCACTTGTTTCGACGTCGTGTTTCTTCGCCGCTGCGGCACCGAGTCTTACGAGCGACCCATACGAATATTGCGTACTCCGTAGGCACTCATCGTACAAAGCCCCACCAATCATCTAGCCATGAGTCTGGTGCCCGTACACCCAGAAACCGTCATCCATCCCCGAGGCTGAGCGCCAGGTTGACTCCCGACGCCCGGCGGCTATTGAACGATTTGTCTAGCTATGAAGGAATCAAGCTCCCTTTCAACAAACCCCAAACGAGGTTTGGCTCGCCTTGGCTGATACTGTTAGTCGCCTCACGGATAAGCAACTTGAATCACCGGGCTAGGGTCTTTCTGAACCTGCCACTAGAAGAGCAGAACAACATAAGTTGACCACGCCTGTTGACTCCCGTGCAAGCCCAGCATCTCGATAAGATGTGATTCCGCCGTTGCGGTAATCTTCAACCGCCCATATGACCATTTCCTTAGGCTCTGGCAAAGCAATTGGAACTTTCAAATCCAAAACACCCACAGTGCGACAAGGTGGTTGATCGGGCTAGACGCGGGTGGGATGGCAGGCTGCAGTGGTGAGGCGATGGCCCAAGATCGACAGCCAGAACAGCATCCTGCAGCACAAAGCTTTCACATTTCCAATAATTGACCAAGTCATTACTCTGAAAGTCCCTTCTCCCCGTGCCGCATCTTCTCTCTCATGGTCTGATACACAACGGCGGCTTTTCCGTCGTCTTGTGGCTTCCAAGGCTCTTCCATGCGGTGCTGAAGCAGGCGTTCTCGGGACGCATACCGGCCATCCACGTCGAACATAGCGCTTTCGCTTTCTTTCAGACACTTGTGCCGTATCACATCTAGATGATTGTGCCTTGCCTCTTGTCTGGTTTGGTCCGGGGTACCGGGGATCATGGGCATACCACAAAGCAAGGACGTGCCTTGTCGAGCGAGTTCGGACCATCGCATTCCAGCAAGCCGTCTCGGAAGAGATGAGATGTTGCATCACAAACCACATCTGACATGTAGGCCAGTCTGCAGAATACCTTGCGGTGTGCCTCGGCGATGGATTCTGCAAAACTCATACTCACACCATCTGCCGTGGACACAAAATGGCGCCAATAATTGGATAGAGATATGGCGACATCGACCATCCTATTCTGTTCTACGGCTGTCTGATGGCTCGATGGGATGTGCGCGGTGGCTTGCCCAGTCTGGCAGGTCGGGACCGGTTGTTTGATACAAGCAGCAGAAAGTGCACCAACAAATCAACCATCGGCCGACTGGTGTCCGCTTGGTGGTCTGTTTCTCTTTCAAGGCCGACATCAGGTACACTGTTTGTACTGTCTCTACCGATACCTATGTGACTCTCAATACAAAGTACCGGCACGAGGTTCAAAGTTCAACGGCGGGGCAACGCAGCGACAGATGCCAAAACGCCAAGACAAATTTTCATGCCAACGCTCGATGGGGCTCTTTGGGATTGCATTCGAACCTGCATGGCTTGTCCCTTACCTTATCTCAAGGTTGGACAGGGTCAGGGTTTGCACAGGATATGCCGACGCTCGCCTCAACTGAACTCCATCGTTTGAAATTCCACGAATTTTTTCTGAATATGTATTGATTGTACAGATATTTGCGCGACGACTATTTACTTTTTTCCCCCGTTCCTCTACTTACTCTGCCATCAACCGCAACAGCGGTCACACCACTATCGCCGCACAAGACCAAAAGAGGCACCGCAGCCAATATAGCGACAAGGTTCCTACTCGATGATCATGCATAATGACGAGTGACTCGATTCCTAGTCGCAGCTCTCACGTTAGATGGAACCCCTCCTCAGATTCGAGAAGGATAGTGCGGCTTACTCCGAGTTGATCGCGCACATCTGACGTCTTCTATGAACGGTCTCACTTGGGACTTGTTCTTTAACGAAACAATTACAATCCCTCCCGCAGGAGCCAACCAGGAACAGCTTCACTATCAAGTATGTCTCAATCTCACCTCTGGAAGATGTGCATACTTCAGGCTGAGGCACAAGTCCGGGAAGTGGGTGAGCATCGTTTTCTAGGCGAGCGAAACCTTCTACACTTCAAACATGCCTATTCGGGTCCAACTTCGTCCATGATTCTATGGTGGAAGAAATAGAGTACGAAGTACGGAGTATCCGTACGGACCCGGGCCAGAGAAATTCCAGCAAGCACTGGGATTGACAACCACCCACAAATTTCATCGCATTCCCCTCAGCAGCTGTCATTGTCAATGAGTGCAAAGTAACAATAGGCGAATCGCTTGGCATCCATAACCAAGATGATGCCAAGGCCAAAGTCGCCAAATTACGACAGTGGCCGCGTCTGTTCAAAGATGAACAATAAGACGGCAGGTTCTCTGATTCATGCCGCATGAGACGTTTTCTCCTATCCTGCAGAGGCGCAAGAGTTCAGAGTTGCAGTTGGGTTCTCCAGCGCAATCTTGGCCGACTCCGCTTGTTTGTTTTGGCGCCCTTGGACACGTTGGCTTGCTTCGAATACCAATTACCATCCCGTGCACCCTCGCACCGGAATGGCGGGTGCCCACTACTTAATTCCGTTACCGACATGAGAGGCATCGGGGCCCTGGCCGAATCGGACGGGCATGGGCCACCCGTGTGGACGTGGGTGAAGCAGACGGCGCCACGAAGGTCCAGACTTTTTGCGTCTTTGAGTCTTTTGAGTCGTTTTCTGGAGCTCCACATCCCAGCTTCCCGCGAATGCCAAAAACCTGCTGTTTCTCCATACTCGGCCTTGCCTTGCTGGCTGCTCTCGTCTCTTGTTGGCCCTGGGCACACGATGCCATGCCATACGTTGGATTCGTGCCCGTTCTCGGTTACCGCTCTGGGCGCGCCCCAGATGCCCGGTCTCTTGACTCAAAGTGAGTCGATTCGCTTAGCAGGGTTTCCTTCTCTGCATTGTCATCATCATTCCGGTACTTGTCTCCCGGCCCTAACCCTCGAGGGACCGATTTTGAGCTGCGGAATGCTTGAAAGCCTAGATGTTCAATGGTGCCCACAAAAGTGCCTGGCGCTATCTTTCTAGTGCGCGTCTGGGGGTGTCCTGTCGCGGCAACCTAGGTCTGGTGAAGGCCTAACAAAGACAAGCCCGTCATCTCACAACTTTTGACAACAGCCTCTGGTAACAACGGAGCCTGACCGCAGTCCGATTCCAAAGAGACTAGCCGCCCTAGAACCAGGTAGCCTCAACACCTGAGAAGGTCAGAATTCCAATCAGCCGACAAATCCGTGGCCATAGCCAGCATCAACCTGTGGTCAACTTAACACAGCAGTTTGCTCCGGTTGCTTGTCCCCCAACCATCCGAGAGCCGACGAAACATCAACATCTAACCATCCATCAGCCAATGCCGTTAGGCACCGTCCACCATCCGACCCGAGGCCTCTTCACCTCCGCATCTTCCCCCGCATCACGCAAAGCTGCCGGCGGTAGATTCAGCACATTTGCATTCGGCCCAGTCAGCCAGCAACTCAAAAGAGACAGACTCAACTACGGAAGACACAAACCTTATCGTTTCTCATCCGAAGGCCAGTATACTTACTTCTTGACTCGCCGGCTAAGCAGAGTCCAAAAAGACTTCAACCTAGCTTACCAGTACACTACGGTAGTTGACTTCCAGCTGAGCCGGAGGAGGCCTATCAAGCTGTCAAGTTTCGTCAACGACATCGGACCCCAGCTGACCCTCAACCCGCTCGGCTCCCCCTCTCTCAGACTCGCAACTCGTGATATTCAGCTTGACCTGGTCACCCCTTCCAAGTCCCAGATTCAGGTCTAGACTTTTGCAAATTCAACACAACCACAACCACGACCGCAGCTGCCGACGAGTGAGCGGCAAAAAACACCAAGCACGAGAATCCAGTCCACCTTGCCCCCTCATCTTGCTACGTTGCTACCGCCCGCCGCCCGGACTAGACTAACAGATTGTCTCCGCTATATCTCCCACGGCAAGGTATCATTAGTAGTTTATCTTTTTGCACGACCAACCGGCTCGCACGCCGCCATCAACCAGACGTCGATCGAATTGAGGCTGAGCAGCTTCGGAGCGAAACTCTCTCGGCAACCACTGCAACCCAGAAACTCGTTGATAACCTATCATTTGAATTCGGGAACGAGAAACATCGGGTCAGCCAGCGGCGTGGCGATCTGACACTCACCCTCGCCGAAGCAACTTCCTTCCACATAGGCACATAGGTAGCGCATAGGATCTCCTACCCTTCGGATTCTTGATGCAATAGGCGGCCTCTGCAGTAGGAAAAGGACGCCGTGTTCGTCGACGCTCTTCATATCGAATACGCGCTATTACCAACAGGTCTCGACTGGGCCTCTCTTGTGACACCCAGTCGAAGAGGCAACCCGGTAATACCGTATATCCCAGGCCAAGTCATTGAGGCTGTGCTTCGCCGGTAACCCGATTGTTTCACTACACCACCCCAACCCACGTGTGGTGTATAGCACCAAAATTGTCTGACGGACACCGTAGTGAAATTCAACCTGGTGTCACCGAAACAAACCCGTCGACAAATCTCCCAGACAGTATTACTCCATAGACTGGCTCGTTCTCGCGCGCCCGCTGTGCGATACTAATGTCCGGGATGCGCGGGTTGTTGTGTGTAAGTGTGTGAAAGTGGAAGTGACAGTACGTGGGCGTGGCGTCAGCTTGCCTTGCCTGCGGGGCTTTGCAACGGGGCCGCAGATGAAGGGCGGTCATGTCAGCCCACAGTCCGAAATCTCCGGCTGTCAAACAGACAACTTACAGCTGCCTCTCTTTGAACATCTGAACAAGTTCAACCTCGCCCAACCTTTTTTTTTTAATCCAATGGAATTGAACATACGATGACACGGTAACAAAAGACCGTTCTTTGTGTACTGCGGAAGACGAAAAAAAAAATGGGAACATGGTTTGGTTGTGTGTGTGTGTGTACTTTGTGCGACCCCTTCTTGGCAACGCTTGGCAAACATTTAGATACTGTGCTTGCATGCAGCAAAAGTTGCCTCCATCGCCGAGGAGAATTTTTTTTAAAAAAAAGCCAAGTCGTGGTAACTTGTTAGTTCCCGCAAGACTTGGCAATGCCGGATGTGAGCCCTGGTAAGGCGTTAGAGGGAGATCGTTGCGTCTTGGCAATTTACGACATCACGGGGTATTGGGGGCATGATGATTATCTCAACGACGGTTGGTGAAATTTGGAAAAGCCGACCAAATGTTTTTTTCTGGTTCAATTCTTAGAGGGACGAAAACCAGTGTTCCTGTCTGCCTGCCAAGAAATTTACCTACTGCCTTGTAATGTTTCTGTTGGTATAGCATTGTGATTGTTCTTTTGTTTGTGATTCTCGGCTGTTTCTAGATTTGAATATACACGCGGGAACATATATCGCGAAGCTCTCTAGGTGCCTACTTTCGGAGTCTGCCTTGCCTCTTGTTTCCAACCGCACATCCGTAACTACCGACGCTCCATCCTCAAAACCAACCCCAAGAAAGGGAAGCCGAAGGAGGCAAGAAGACAAAAAAAAAATCCGCTTTACCGTCTGCCTAAATCAACCCGTCGAACATGAACCATGTCACCATCCGCCGCAACACCACCACCACCACCATCAGCAGTAGCAACAGCTGGCTCAACCCCAAAGAACCCACCAACAGCCACCTTCAACGTCTCCTCCCAGAACCCAGCCACCACGCCCCTCAGGTCCCCGCCCGTCTGCTTGAAGTCCGGGAACGAATTCACCTCCAGCAGCCAAGGCTTCGCCTCCTCGTCCACAAGGAAATCCAGCCCGAACACTTCAAAGGCATTACCCAACGGCTGGAAATGAATCGTCATCTCCCGTGCGGCAGCTTCAAAGATTTCGCCCGTGATGTTGCATATCCGCTCAAAGATGCCGTCCGCCGTAGCAGCGGGCAGACCATCGCCCTTTCCAGAAGAAACCAGATCCCAGAATTGCTTCACGGGCGGCAAGGCAGACTCGCTGCCCCCCTGTAAGCACGTATTCGTCAAGTGCCCATCCAAATCCGCGTCCTCCCACGGCGCGCAGTAGGACTTGCCCGCAAACAGCGCCAGCATCGGCTTGTAGACGTAGACGTCGAGGCTGCCTACGCAGAGGACGTACGTGCGGATGTGGAACTTGCGCGCGTCCGAGGGGAGGAGGAGGGGCGGGTGGATGTACGGCTGGGCGACGAAGTGGCGGAGGTGCGAGGTCGTGATGTAGTCTCCTCCTCCTCCCGACCCGCCTTCGCGTTCACCACCCGTAGCAACAGTAGCGTCTGCAACTCCTTCGTCCTCGTCTTCGTCCTCGTCATCGCTGTCGGGCCTCTCCTCCTCCCATTCATCAAAGATGCCCTGCAACTCCTCCATCGAACTAAAGAGCCGGATCCCTTGTCCGCGATCACTCATCCCCGGCTTCAGAATCCACCACTCCTTTTTGTCTTCTTCTTCGATGCCCTCGTTCCTGTCCATGCTCTCCCGCAGATCAAACGCCTCCACGAGCGCGTCGTCGAGGAACTCGGCATAGTCCACCTCAAAGTGCTCCCCGCGCTTAACGTGCGTCGTGAGTGAAGAGGAAGGGTGCTTCGCGACCCAGTGGTCCACCGTCGACGAGAGGTAGTGTTTCCGAATCAGGGCTTTGCGGATGACGTAGCTGTTTACGAGGGAGCTGGTCGGGTATGCGGCGACGTGGTCGAAGTCGAGGGACTCGTAGGGCGCGATGTGCAGGATTTTGGCGTCTGGTGAGGGGAGGCTGGCTGCGAGGGTGGCGGTGGGTTCGTCGTCCTGCGGTGAGGGGAGGAGGGAGTATGCTCCCGGGAAGAGGCGTTCCATGGCTTCGAGGATGAGCGGTTGGACATACGGGTCCTCGTAGTTGATGATTGCGTGGAACTTGGGGTTCGCGGCTGTCGTTAAGGCTGTTGTCGACTGCTGGGCACCAAAGGTGGAACTTCGCATGGGGAGTCTAGTTGACGAGCGAGTGGTTTCTGCTTCTGCCTTTGCGGGCGCCTCAGTTTGCGGGCTGTCACTACAGAAGAGAAAAGGGGTAAGAAAATGATTCTCGTGTGATCTATTGTCTTCTCCAAAAAGCGATCGAGAGCAGTAAGAGTACATGCCGAGCTTGCCCCCAGAGTGAGGCCCTCTAAATGTCTTGATCATCTCATTCATCTCTAGATGTTTACGCTTCATGCATGCGTGTAATAACGTTCAGACATCCTACCCCGGCTACATCGCCATGTCGCACTCTTTCTCTCTGCCTGCATCTCTTTCTCGATGATGCAATGCTCATGCGCACCTACACCTCTTTAAAATATCAAGGGCTCACTTACAGAATCAGCTCCTTCTGATGGAGTTCCTGGGAAGCATGCCAGAAGTTGGCCTTGAGAGGCGTCACACTGTGAATGGTCAGCATCCGCATCGTTCAGAAGGGGCTTCAAGTTCATCAATATCAGGTCGTGGCATCACATACCTCGTGTAGCCCTCCTTCACAGCCCATCCATCGTTGCCAGGGGCAGCCTCCTCAACGCTCTGATACACATCCGTGAACCTCGGCGCCCACTTGAAGTGCTTGTGTCGATGGCTCTTGGCAACTCCACCCTCATCCTTTGCCCCCTCGCCCCCCTTCGGCTTCTCAGCAGACGTCTCCCCAAACGCGCCCTCGCGAATCTTCTCCTCCTCCTCATCCTCATCACCAGCATCGCCCTCAATCTCTTGAAAGCAGCTGCCATCGCGCCAGTAATTCTGCAGCATGTTCGTAAACAACGTCTTGTGCGTCTCCACACCCTCGACAAGCGGCACGTTTACGCTATACAGATCCACCTCGTTACCAGCAGGCCACTGCTGATACAACTTCTCAATAACCTTGACCGAGTGCCTCGCGGCGCCCTCGATAATAACAGGATCATGGTTCCGCGAGAAGAAGGCGTAGCTCAGCGCAATCGCCTTGCTCTTACACACCGCCGCCTCAAGCGCACCGCCCAACGTACCCGAACTCAGCGCGAACACGGCCGTCGTGTTGCGGCCGTAGTTGGGTCCGCTGACGACGAGGTCGACCGGCCCGCGCTCCTGGAAGAAGTGGTGCAGGCCGATTTGCACGCACGACGCCGGCGTGCCGTCGACGAGGATCCACTCGTCGTCGGCGCCGTTGGCCGAGGGCCGGGCCGTGGTCGTGCCTTCGGTGCCGAAGAGGCCTTCGGTGGAAGGGCGGTAGTAGAGCGGCTTGACGGTCTGGCCGATCATGTGCGCCTTACCGATCCAGGAGCGCTGGGTGTGCGGGAGGCAGACGGAGACGACATGGCCGGCTTGCTGGAGCTGGTGGACGAGGGAGTGGACGTAGGGGGAGGAGTGAGGAGATGGCGGGCCGTCGTCGTTGGTGAGGAGGATGTGCATTTTGACAGCTGGCTTGTGCTTTTGCGTTGTTTGAAGTCAGTCAAGTCGAGTCGAGTTGAGTTGAGCGTTGGTGAGGTAAGGTCTGAAAAGGGAGATGAAAGTCAAAAAGATTTCGGGGTTGAGGAAATTGCCCCGCGGCAGGACGTGGATGGCGGGTCTTGGCTCAACACTAAGGTGCTAGATGACCACGAGACTTTTTGGGCACGAGTTCAGGATTTATGACAGAATTGAGTTGATGTGATAAAAGCCAGTGCTCCTACAATGTTCAAGGCGAGGAAGATGAGTTGCTAAGTCTACCCACCTAATAAGTGAGTTTCTGGATGAAGGAACTCGGGACAGAGTCTCAGAATGCAAAGTGGGATGGAGGGGTTGCAATAGTGGGGCAAGTTGACGTTTGCCAGACACGGAAGGATACCCGGTGCCCGCTCTCGGAGGGGAACGGCATCCCAAGCCAACGTCGGGCCTGCCCACAGCACCGACGTGGTCGGGCTCTTTCGTGGCTTACATGAGCATCTGGGATGCCTGATTCATTGCAAGAGCATTTTCCAAGTTGTACGTTACGCTACGGACGTGTAATCGAATGTCACTTCAAAAATCACACAAATACTTCGAAGGAAAATTGGTGCTATGTAAAATCGTTCGTGTTGTCCTAGTCTGCAGACTTGTGAGAACTGACCGCAGCTCTCTTACTACACGCAATGTCAGCCCAACATCATGATGGAAGGCTAAACAAACGCCGTAATCCCAATCCCTCCCTGCAGGCTTTACAAGAATTGTCCAGTACAAAAAGTCTACCCTAGTAGAAAAAGGGTATCTGGCTGAGGATACCGTTGGTATCCACCAGCTAATTTACCCCTTGTCCAGAAAGTGAAGTAACCATTACACAAAAGCCCATCGCAGGATTGTGCTTCCTCCTCCCGTAATACCGATCGAAGCGAAGTAATGACCCAGACTCCAAATCGCTGAGATGCGCAAAGACCGATACTCAAAGACGAATTAATTGTACAGGTATCAAGTGCGAGTTCGCTTAGGAGCAGAAGCTTCGAGCTCGTCGCCCGCACGCTTTGTGGCACTGCTTCCGTGGCGGCTCTTGACACGCGGCCAGTCGTCAAAGGGACTCGCACGAGTCTTGCGTTTGATCGGTGACGGTTCTTCCGCCTTCAATCCAGAGCGGGTGGTACGTCTGGTATCCGGTGGAGTTGCGACTGTCTGACCAAACTTGGGTGCCCTGGGAGTTGCTGGAGCCTCTTCCTCAATCTCGGCCGGGGTCTCTGGCGCATCCTCGATCTCGTCGTCGTCCTCGAGGTGATGATCTTCGATGTCAGTCACGGCTTCCTCTTCCTCGAGAGTGGTGCCTGTAGCAGGCGCCTTGGGCGCGACAGGGAAGAGTAGGCGCGGCTTGATGGCAGAACGCGTGAGTGGTCTGCGAAGGCGAGATTCGCTTGAGCTGCCCTCTTCGTCGTCTTCATCTTCGGGCTCAGCGAACTTGCGGAAGATCTTCTTTCCTCGGCTGTGAAGGGGGTTAGCAAAGTGCTTTTTTCCTAGGAGATATGGGAGTCAACTTACAAAACATAAACCATGCCATCCTCGCGCTGAAGCGCATCGTCGACGCCCTGCGCAGCTTCTCCCGGAATCGCGACCTTGCGCTTGCTGCGACGGCGCGGGGGCTCTCGGTCGACGGTGACGCTATCGCCATAGAACGGATTGTCCACGCTGGAGTCGGGTACAGGAACGCGGTCATGCGAATCGGTGAAGATCTCAATCTTTTCCTCTACTTCAGTGGCGGTGAAGCTCTCCAACGAATTGCCTGAATACTTCTTCGGGGTTCGCTTTCTCTTGGGTGTGGCCAGTGCCTCGTCGTCATTTGCGAACAGATTGCGCGCGACCGACTTGATTTGCGCAGTTTGCTTCTCGGTAGGTGCCTTCTTGGGCGTCTTGGCTGGCGTGGGCAGCATACCGCTGCGACGAGTCGAGGCGGTGTGGTTCGATTGGCGATCCATCTTGTCAATTCCAAGCGACGACGCAGAGTGCGATGAGCTGTCGGCAGTTAAGAAACCTGAAGCGCGGCGAACGGAATCTTGCGCAGGTTGGCGCTTCTTCTGAGGTGTAGCGGCAGGCGACATGATGGCTGCAGCGGCGGCAGACGCGATGGGTTTGCGAGTTGATCGAGGAGGAGTGCGGTGAGTAGGTGGTTGCGGAGAAGGAGTTCGGTTTGCAGCTCGACGAGATGAAATGCGTGCCGACTTGCGAGGAGAATAAGGCTCCCAGTTGTCGCTCCAGCCGTGTTTGGGTGTCGGTGGTGTGCGAATCGTAGAGGGAGGAGGTGAAGGTGTTGATGCAGCGAAGGCGGTGGCCATTGTGTCGAAAAGGGCAGGCAGGCAGCCCGGGTCGTCTGGTGGTGGTGGACCGGTCCTTCCTGTTCAGATTTCTTTGAAGGCTTCAATTGCGCATGTAACTGTTGGTAAAGGTGAATAAGCGCGCGGTGTTTTTTTAGCGTCGGGTTGCGGTTGCCGCCAAGGTGAGGTGATGATGATGATGATGATGATGATGGAGGGGGGATAAGGTAAAGTATGTGAGAGGCTCAAGCTGAACTCCAGCAATCCGAGTACCAAGAGGTGAAGCGACCTGATGAGTTTCAATAATACTAGGCAACTGTAGAGAGGTTGAAACGGTTAAGTTTGTGATGTCTCTGGTTGCTCTGGCTACAGGTGATGCAAGTGAGAAGTGGATGTGTGGAATGGGATGGATGATGTTCGCGATCATGGGGCGGCAGTTGGGATGCAAAAGGAAATGGTCTCAAAAAACGTGGGAGGAGGCTGGAGGTTGGGAAATGTTAGAGGCTGGGGAGTCGGGACGGGGTGAGGTGAGGGTGAGCCGAGCGTTTTGCAGCGCACCAGCCCCAGCCCCCCGTTTTGCACCTGCACCTCACCACTCAAGCCTCATTTTCCTATTCAAATTAAGCGAACCCCACCATAGCAGCGGGGACGCGTCGACTACTCAGGAGACGCGAATTTTCGCGTAAAATCAACAGCACTCAAAGGTACCCACCCGTACTCCTTAGTCCGTCCACTGCGAGCTGCTGTAAAGCACAGGCAACTTTACACTGACTTTCCCGTCACCTATAGGCTATTCGCATGTAAAGTACTCCGTAGCGCAGGGTCTCCACTCCAGAGTGCCCCTCACTCGCTGCATCCCACATTTTCCCCCAAACGGCCGGGCACCTCTAATCCAAAAGACTTGATCTATCAACAAATAACGTCACACTCGACTCTGCGCCGCGCTTCCTGCCGGTACAGACAAGCCAGACCACACTTCGACCGAACCGTTTTTCAATACAAGCCTGGAGTGACAATAGCCGCATAGGGCAGAGCCACACCCGATTTGTAGCTGCAGCTCAACGCCAACTGCCACTACCACCATGGCTGACTACACCGACGAGTCCATCACAGAGGATATATGGGTATCTCCTGGCCACGAGGGTAGAGCTGCACCTCCCTCCGAGCGTCCCGAAACCCCTAGAACACCAAAGACTCCCAAGACGCCAAAGACGCCCGCGAATCAGACCCAGAACGCCCCTTATGATAGAGAGGCTTCTCTGCGGAAAGAGTTGGAGGGAGTGCGAAACATCAATGCCGCCATTGAAGGCATAATCAGCACCCTTGACAAGGCCAAGGGCAACATGAATGTGCGCCGCCCTGCGATAAGCTTCTGTGAAGTGAAACCAGCTGACCTCGCTCTTTAGACTGTTGGCAGCACTGTGTCAAACGCATCCACCCTCCTCAACACCTGGACCCGCATCCTCTCCCAAACCGAGCACAACCAGCGACTCATTCTAAACCCCAACTGGCAAGGCGCAAGTAACGACTTGGTACAACTCGAGGCAGAGACTGTACAGAAGCAGCAGATTGCCGAGAGACGGGCGGCTGAAGAGGAGAGGCGGCGCGAAGCGGCTCGCCGGAAGAGAGAGGAGGAAGACGAAGAGCGACAGAGACAGGCCGCAGTCGGCAGTGCACCACGTGGCCGAGGAGTTTCTCGTGGCCGTGTGCGAGGCACCTCATCGACGACCCGCGGTCACAGCTACTCAAGTAGCACGTCGAGGATCGGCAGAGGCGCGGCGAGCGTTCGCGGTGGATATCGGGGGCGAGCTAGAGGTACGGAGTAGGGGGACGATACGTTTTGTTTGTGAACGAGTACCGATACCCAGAAATGAATGCATCCAAATGGTCGGCCTCCGGCTAGCCTATTTCTTCTTGAAGAAGTCGCTCATCTTTTTCATGCCCGTGGTGTTGACCTTGCTCAAGGCCTTCACACCTCGCGTTTGGCTGGCCTTCTTCTTCTTTTCCTCTTCCATCTTGCGCTTCTTCTCAGCGCGAGCCTCCTCCTCTTCTTCGTCGAGCATGCGCTTCCTGGAGTAGTCGGCCATGGAGCGGGATGAGGCAGCTTCTGCGCGAAGCTTGGTGAGTTGGACCAAGTATTCGTCCAATGGCGAGAAGTCGACACCTGAAGTTTCCTTGTCGGCAAGGAGCTTCTTCAGAACCAACGTCATGCCTGGCGCAACATAGCGCGAGCAGATGAAGCTGAATGCAACTTTGAGCCGTTGCAAGTTGGTCACCTCGGTGGATGCTTGGATAGCACTGACGACGGTCTCTTCGGATAGTTCTCCATTTACAGATGTGGCTGCTGTGGAGACATTGGACGTAGCTGAAGCTTTGCTGTCGGCAGTTGAGACTGATGACTGGGATTCAGCAGATTCGTTCCGTGGTGTTGACGTATCTGCTTCGTTCGCGGCCACCTCCACCTTGACAGCTTGTGACTTCTGAACTTGGATAGGAGCTTCCAAGACTTTCTTGACAAATTTCTCGTCCATACTGGCAGGAAGTCCCTTGGAGCTCATAGACCGTGCCTTTGAGAGAATCTGAAGAACAAGCTTCTTCTCGCTCAACCGGTACATCTTCTCATCGCCGGCATCAACAGTATCGCACACGGCCTCCATGCGTGATTCAAGAAGCGTCTTCGTCTTGGGGCATCGCAGAGCTTCAGGCATGTGAGAAGACGAGGTCGAAACTGCGTCGAAGTGGTCGTCGCTGGAAAGGAATAGTCGCTTCGTGTCTGTTGACTTGGCGGTGCCAAAAAGACCTGGGACCAGTAGGAATAGAGGGTCCACGGCTGTCGCGACGAAAAGGTCTGCGCCGTTGGTGACTTGGGCTTCAAACCGAGATACGTCCTTTGCGTCCGACTCCTCCAGTGGGCCAGAGGGTGTCTCAATCATCCAGCTCCTTGGTGTAGTCTTCGGCGCAGCAACCTTTGTAAACTCGTAGATGCCCGTCTCTGGGCATAGTAGGTAGCGGGTGAGTTTGGAGTAGCGAGGGTTGGGAAGAGAGACTATGCGAGCCTCACTGGTAGCTTTTTGGGGGATAATGAACAGTTGGGGAGCACTTGACGACTCTTCGGGTAGGGTGTATTTGGCCGTCGAAGAGGCATTGCTCGACTCGGTCTTTGCGGCCGGTGCGGCTTTGGTCGCTCTTGTTCTCGCCATGGTGAAGATGATATGTGTGTAGGAGTCGGGTTGACGATGCTCAAGGAGTGATTTACACCGGTACAGACCAATTGACCAGAAAGGAATGACAGGTGGTTGTGTAAGAGGTCTAAAGGAGGATCATGCAATGCGTAAAAGGTTGAATGGGAGCAGCCAAGCTGATGGTAGTCAAAAGTGAGTGGGACGGAGATACCTGGTACTTTCCATTGCGATCGGTCGTCTTTGGACATTTGGACCCTTTCTGTCCGTGCTCTGGTAACGCGACGACGCGCTGAGTTCAATTAAAAAGTGGACCGCGTCCCCTGGGGCTTGACGCGACTATAGCCAATGAAAACGTCGTAAAGCCATACGGATGGACCAAGGTACTCCACGTCAAACTCCTCTTCTCAGGCTAGTCTGACCAGGCTTATCGTGACGACGAGGTTCAGATGCGACAATTCGATAACGATTTCGAGGCATTCTTACCACACTATTCGCACTTTTGCTTTACATTGTTTTAGGCCGTCATTTGGCTCTCGTACTCCGACGTCACTCCTTTAGCCGCATCTCACGCCCTTCTCATCGGTCGCTATCGTCTCCTTTTTCTTTGTTCGCTCGCTGTCTGTTTGCCAGCACAGACCCCTCGTCTCAACTATCATTCGAGTCTTGCGCCAAACGAAGCTGACAAGGCCGGCTGGCGGGTCATGGGCTTGTGGCGTTGAAGCTTCATCAAGTGGTCTTTTCCGGAAGGCGGACTGGACATACGACAGCTACGTTCTCAACTACATCATTGTGATACCCTGGCAAGATGCCTCTTGGTTCGTAATGAATGGACATTTTCAATGATCAACATCATAACATCAACATAGCGCCCCCACCCGACGAGCCCCAATGGCCTCCCCGATCCCCTCACGAAGCCCTCATTAGCACCCCGAGCGGCCGCGAGCGCCTCAGGCGTCTTCAGAATCGAGGATCACCCTCTCCTTCACCGTTGAAGAGGGGACGAGCAAACTCCACTTTATCTACACGATCGGCGAACTTAATCGACGAAATGGACGATCAGGAGGACGAGGATGAGGAAACACTTCAACTAAAGTTGCAGGAGATCCAGGCCAGACTGAAGTTGAAGAAGTTGCAGAGCGCAAGGGAAAGGACGGAAGGAGCTCCACCGACTCAAACAAGACCGACCTCGAAAGGTTTTGGGATCGGCCGGGCACTATCCAGACCTGAACCCCAGGCCACCATCGAGGTACCCGTGTCTCCAATCCGAAAGACTCAGCCTGCACCACCAAAAGCATCGCCGACTCGGGTTCCGCTCGGAATCGACAAAGGGGTCAAGAGAGCACCAAGTGTACTGCGGAGGAATACAAATCCTCAAGATGGACAGCAACAGGTCGGCGGATATCTTCAACGGTCACGAACTCCTGCTCAACAAGAGATATCACGGCCACTGAGCTTCAACGAGAGGCTGGCCGCAGCAAGAACACAAGAGGTCGACCGCCAGGGATTGAGGGAAAGAGTTCAAAAGCTCAGATCGGAAACTTTTGATATTGGGCAGAAAGAGATTGAGCAGTTCAAGGAAAAGGCGATCGACATTCCTGAGGAAGAGGAAGCTGCACCGCATTTTACCAGGGATGAAATCCTTGGTGGAATGAGCAAAGCGGAACCCAATCAGCGCAAGCTAGACTCAATACCTGCGCTTCCAGCACCATCGTCCTCCAAAGATGAAGATGACTCCCGAGGTCTCTACGAAGCTCCGCCGGACTGGATGATGGCCGGGCAGAAACCACAGAGGCCGAAAAAGGTTGCGCCAGCAGACGTGCCAGAGGCCGAAGCGTCGGCCTTCGAGCCATACTCCAGCTTTCATCTCTCACAGCGCATTCTTCCACACCAAGTCTTGACAAGGACTTTGTCTGGGAAAAAAATATTCAAGTTGCCAGACTTGCTGCAGAAGGTCAAGGCTCCAGAGTTTCAACTTCCAGACATTGAGCAGGATATTGTCGTCTTCGCCGTTGTCGCAAAGAAGTCAGAACCCCGCTCTCACAAGCCTCGAGCTGACCAGAATGGCAAAGAATCAGACCGAGGGAAGTACATGGTCGTCACATTATGCGACCTGAAGTGGGAGCTGGAGCTGTTCCTCTTCAACTCGGGGTTTACACGCTTTTGGAAGCTTACAGAAGGCACAGTGCTGGCTATCCTGAACCCGACCATTATGCCTCCTCCAGTTGGCCGAGAAGCCACCGGCAAGTTCAGTCTAGTGATCAATTCTGACGCCGACACAATCATGGAGATTGGAAAGGCCCGAGACTTGGGATTTTGCAAATCCATCAAGAGAGATGGCGAATTCTGCAACTCCTGGGTCAACAAGAAACGAACCGAGTTTTGCGAGTTTCATACCAACGAAGCGGTCTCCAAGCAGCGAGCAAGTCGAATGGAGGTCAACACCATGGACTTCGGCGGTGTTGGAGAGAAGTTCAAGTGGAAATCGAGACAGCTTGTTAAACCAGAGGCCGAGAAGAAATCGGGAAAGTACGACCGAGAAACACATAGCCATTGGTTCGCTACGAAGTCAATGAGCTCTGCTTCGCTCATCGACGGAGGTCAGGCACTCATGGACAGGAGAGAAAAGGAAGAAAACCTGAAGAGAAGAATGCTTGCCCAAGAGCGTGAAAGGGGCATCATGTCGCGTCTGAGTAAGATCGGCGCTGGCACGGGTAAGGAGTACATGCAACAAACAGACCGCAACCGTAACCCCACCTCCGCGTCAAACTTGCCGTCATCCGCGTCAGCTTCGAACATACTTGGGGCGCGACAGAAGCCCGATATTAAGAGTTTGGGCATTATGCCTAGGAATAGGGAACTGGCCTTACACCTCAGCCCTATAAAACGCAAGAGACCACAGAGTGCACAGTCCAGCTCCTCGGTCGGTGCACCCTCGTCAGCGACGGCCACAACAGGGCTGAAGACCGGTTTTGGATGGGGCGGCAATCTCAAGGACAAGCTCGCCAAGATGAAGGAAGGTGAAAAGCTGAATAGCGACAAGCCGCCGGTGAGGAAGAAGACGAGGTTCGTGACGGAGAAGGGAATTCGCGAGGCTGGGAGGGAGAGTCTGGGTATGGACCTGCCGCAGGCGGTTTCTTTTGAAGATGACGATGACGACGATTTGATTATTGTGTGAAGACAGCATATTTGGGAAATGGGTATTCATGCGAAGGCGACACTGGTCGGATGGGACGGGAAGGTTATGGGCTTGAGAATACAAAGGGGGGGTTTTCTCCCATGACTCCTGGATGGAGTTCGCTTGAAGCGATTATGGTTACCAACTACAGGCTACAGAAAAGGATTTCAAGACAGGATATCACGTCAAAAAAGGACGCTATTTTGATCATGTTCTGGTTATCTACTCGGTACTCTGTGTGATTATGATTACACCCCGTTAAACTTGGCTAAGGTACGATAGACTGACACTCACGGCGTCATATCGACCATGAGATCGAGGTGAAGTATGTCCGTCGCTCTCTAGCTACACCTGAGTCTAAGGTATGTCCATAAAGTCCGTTGCCATTATCAGCTCCATAACTCGGCGATTGACCCCTCTAGCTCTCAATGGCAGAGTGAGCTTGAAGTCTTGGGTTCCCCCAAGAACCCATGCCCTGGATACCTTGCAAAAGGTATGCTGCATAGCGAATTTCCCTCGGCCACCCAGAGTCGTATCATGTGAAGCGACTGTCTGAACTTGACTTGAACATCCCCAAACCCGGGTTAGGCTCCTAGAATCGGTCCAAGAGGCCCATTTGACTCTGAAGAACCACCGTGCCGGCCACTCCCTTGGGGTATAAGTCTAATCGCAAACATCTTCAGACCTTCAACAACAATCTTGGCAGCCGCCATTGCAACACTTCTGTCCTCTATCAAAGCACGAATCGCGCTGGCGAAATGAGAGATTAGGCAACCAAGTCCAAAACATGGAAAACTCGTTCATGAGATCTGGGCTTACATAGTTCCAGGTCGGCTTGTCTCTCCCTGGCCAGGTGTAGCACTCCACGACGTTGTCTCCAGAACAGCCCAAGGCTGAGCCGAGGTCGCATCCTTTGCCCTGGTCGGCTGCCAGAGCAAAAGGGAGGAGGATACTGAGAACGATACTGAAGGCGTGCATTGTGCAAAGTATGGAAATCAATGAATTGTAGCGTGTGAGGTTGTGCCGGTTTAGGGAAGTAGGTGGTGTTTGTAGAAGGGGGTAAAGAAGGGATAAAGTGAAGTGTCTAGCAGTATGCCACACCGCAGAGCCATTCAATACCGAAGACTAAAAGCCCCGTTTATGACTCTCTAATTCCTACAAGAACATCAATATGGACTTCTCCGTCGCAGCTTGGCGGTGGTACGATGATTCCTTGATGTTGAACCCGAAAGTTTTACACGGCTAATTTCTCGCTGGTGCTGCAACTCATGGCGATGAACATGTCGACCATCAACCTTTTTCGACAAGTCTTGGCGGGAAGATGCAAATGTAGATCTCATCGAAGTCGAATCATATACGAAGGAGTTGAAGAGGTGCCATTGATTGACACAACCTTCTTAGATTGAATGCCAAGACAATCGGGATGGCCGTGCTATGTTGGTGCAGGGATACCGCGATCACGCCCCAAGAGTTCACGTGAACTTCGTCAACTGACTAGAGTTGATCTGCGTATCTTTGGAGTTTCCAGTGATGGCTGAATTAGAAAAAGGCCTCGGCGACTGTTGGCAAGACCAACTACTGTATACGACCAGTAGTTAAATAGATTAAGTAGTTAAAGCCTTATCAGGAGGCTATTGAAGCCCGGTCTCGGGTGGTGAATGTGACTTACGTGGAATGGCTCTCATTCACCGTCCAGCTTCGAGCCAATCGTCCTGACGTTCCATAAATCGTCCGTCTCACTCAATTTCTTCACCAAAAGTGTCCTAGTCGGTCTTCTTTACATCCAAGAACCATCAAGCCCTTCGCCTCTCCTAGTGAGCAATCCGGAGTAAGACACACAACACACCCACACACATTCACACATACACACAACGGAATGAAAAGACAGCAAGTTGCCCTGCCCGGCCTCCGAACCGCGGCAGTTGCTCTCCTCGCCGCGCGGAGTGTCAAGGCCGAGAAAGTCTATTGCGCCGACGCAGAAAACATCGTGGTTCACCACACAAGCTGCGACGATGCCCCCCGCGGCACCTTTTTCTTGTTCGCCAGTGAGGAGGAATACCAAATTGGAAGCGCCGTCGACCCCAAGCTCGTGGATCTATACGACAGTGCCGACTTTATCGATCGCAAGTACGCAAGGGAGCAGCGTGAGCTACGGGAACGAGACATGGAGTCAGGAGGGTTCGGAAGCGTGACGCCGCGGGCGTGTGGTAGCTAGATTGACGGTGGAAAGAAGGATCCGGAGCAGATAATAAGAAAAAGGGGATTGAAGGAAAAAGAAAACCAGAAAAGAAGCCGCCTGTGGCATTATGTAGAACCAACCAAATTCGAACTCGCGCTCTTGCCGACACCGGGCATTACCTTCCACCACTAGGTCATGTACACTTCAGGCTGTGCTTTTTGCCTTACCACCGCGAATTGAATGACTATAAAGCCTCGATGGTGATTGTGCTGTATTCCACGGGGGAATACTGCGGATTACGGGCATCTGAGTATACGTCTGTGAATACAATGCGGTGACCCTCACGTCTTCGACACAGCCACATAACTCGGCGGCCTTGCCTCTTTACTCTTCCCCCAGTCCGACTCCTTATCTCCCAGCGTTAATTCCAATGTCTTGCCTTGACTAAAGAGCTCATGTCCGATCCAACTCTTGTTATATGCCTCCCCGTCCAGCTTAGCACTTTGCACGTAGATGTTCTTGTACGCTGCATCAAAGCCGACACATTTTATGGTAGCATTCTTCCCCGTCACAGGACTTTTGACACTCACTTCCTCAAAGAACGGCGGCGTGATGATGTAGACGTTTTGGCCAGCGACCGGAAACAGACCCATAACGGAGAACGCAAGAAACGCACCCATGGCGCCAGAGTCATCGTTACCCGGCAATCCGCCGCGCGAGGAGTTGAAGGCCGAAGGTATATACTTATGGATGCGTTCCGCTGAGAGACCTGGACGACCGGCATAGTGGTAGAGATAGACGGTCAAGAATACGGGTTCGTTTGAGATGTCGGCTAAGGGCGAGGCGTGGAAGTAACTGAGTCGGGAGACGAAGGCATCGTCGCCGCCCATGAGGTCAATGAGGGTTGATGTCGAATGTGGGACGATACTATAAGATGTTAGCCAGGTCTTGGATGCGAGCGGTCGGAGGGTACCAACAATTGATACTGCCAGATGCTCGCCTCGAACGTCTCGCTTGGATTTGTCGTCAAGGAGCAGAACCCAGCGAGATTCGAACAAGCTATGGGATCCTGGAAGCCCCATGTTCCATTCATGTACTTGGGCTGGAAGAAGCCAGAAAATCCAGTGTCAGTGCCGTTGATTAGCGACTTTTGGTCCGATTTCCACAGATTCTGCCAGTTCATGCTTCTCACGATGTATTTGTCGTGTAATTGACTCTCTCCCAGTCCCTGAGCCAGCGTCGCAAGGGAGTAGTCGTTGTAAGAGTACTCCAAAGTCCTCGTTATACTCCTCGAGTTCGTGCCGAACCCGATTGGATCAAAGTCTAGATAGGGAATGTAGTTGAGGGCCTTCCAGCTTGTGAGGCCGCCGCGGCCTTCATAAGACCATTCCAGAGGCTCGTCTTCGGCATCTTTCATTACGGCTGCGAGAGCCAGCTTCCAGTCTATCGAGGTCAGGTTTTTGACGTAAGAGTCAACAATCACGACGTCGGCGTTGGAGCCTCCCTGAGTCCAACCTTTGCAGAGAGACATGCGGCAGTCTGGCAGCCAGCCTTCGTGCTTGTAGATATCCAGCATGGAGTTGACCATCTGCGACTGGGCTGCTGGGTCAATGACGGTAAGTAGAGGGTGCTGGGCACGAAAGCTGTCCCACATACTGCTCACTCGTTAGGAAGGGAGGCTAGAGACATGGATTCTGTTCTTACCAGTAAAATGAGTCAAAGTAAGGGATTCCGCTGTCCCAGTGTGGATTCTCACCAGTGTAGTTCTGAGGAGATATCATGTTACGGTACAAGCCGCTCCAGAAGCTCTTCTGCAAGTCGTCCGTAGTGCCAGTCGCCTTGATTGATATCGGGCTCAGCTTCTCCCTCCAAGCGTCCTTTGCTGTCTTCACCAGCGCATCAAAGTTGTTCATAGGATCTTGGATCTCCTTCTCTGCATTGCGGCATGCCTGATCACTGCTCTTGAACGAGACTCCCACCCTGGCAGTGACAGTATCATTGGCCAGCTCTTTGAAACGCACAAAACCACCGCCCTCGAGATAGAACAAGTTGAAGCCTCTCGTAATGAACAATTCCTTTGGCTCGTTACCAGCTCTGTTGTTGACCCATACTCCAGTATCGAAGATCTTGGCTCCAAAGAAGTCAACACAGTAGTGAAGCATGTAAGACCCAGCACCGAAGCTGGGCAGGAATGTCCCGTTTCCAAACATTCGACCGGTGGGTGTGTCGATCTTGATCGAAGCATTCTGCCTACTGGCCCATAGATCCGTCAAGTCCAACATCACAAGCGGATGCTCGTCTCCGCCGCTGGGGAACTTGAACCTCACGAGCGCGGCGTGCTCAGACACCGTCATGTCCGCCTTCACGCCAGACGCCAGCTCGACGGAGAAGTACCCTGGCTCAGCGATAGTCTTGTTCACATCGTGCTGTATTGCTCGGTCCCCAATCCTGAATTTGCAGTCGTTGAGCTCGTCGCCGGGGCAAATCTGCGGGAAGAGGGGGAAGTTGCCCAAGCTGGGGTTTCCACCGGTCCCGCTGTCGTGAACGATGCTGAAGCCCGTGATGTTGCTCCCATCAGTTGAATAACCGCCAGTCTTCTCACCGTCGACATCGGCCACGGCCTTGGCGAGGCCATACGGTAATGTGGCGCCGGCGAAAACGTTTCCGCCGCGTTGGGAGCCGATCAAGGGGTCGACGAAGACCAGAGGATCAAATGATTGACAGCATCCCGTCACTGCGAAGGCAGTGAGCGGTGCGAGGAAGCGCATCGTTTACATGCGACGGGGGCCCGCTGCGATGAACCGGACGAACTAGTCTTTGAACGGCGGTTTACGCTCAAGTAGCACATTCGAGGGGGAGAGCTTGCTGGTTAAGAGTTATCCGTGTAAGCAGAGTCTAATCCAAACCCCGAAGCCGCGCAGTTTGTGTCAAAGATGAGATTGAGATGACTGACTGAGTCTCTGAAGAGCTCATTTTCAGTTGCTCCCATTGCCTTGTCTCATGCATAATGACCGCACGGCAATCCCGGCCGCAACGTCGTCCGACTTGATAAGCAAAGTTTAGTTCTTAACCCCGCACGAAAGGCTCCATGCGGTAGGTGGTACTAGGTTTGACGATCCCATGGAAGATCACGGGAATAATGAACGTTACATGGAGTAGTTAGTTTAATTGTGTCGGTCGGTCCAAGCTAGAATACCGGCGGGCTTTGCGGAGACCAGGTATATAAGGTATGATCTAATAGGCTATGCCCCTCATGTCATTCTCCAACGAATGTAGACTTGCTCAGTACCAAAAGCGGCGCGATATGTGGTATTAAATGATCTTAAGGACTTTCATGGAAGAGCTCGCTTGGGATATCAGCACTTCCTCGATAGATTGGCTCAGTCGTTCGCTTATACACGTTTGCTATTGCAGTGACGGGGAGTTTGTTCCCGTGTATGCGCTAGGTGATGGGACTTACAATTTCTGACGATATGTATTAGCCACCGTCACGGATTTTGCCTCTTGGTCTCTCAGAATGCAAGACAAAATGCTAAGTGAACACATTACACCGTGCTCTTGCAGCCGATGCCGAAGTCCTAAACAATTATACCGGCATAGGAGAGAGTGATGGGTGATAGTAACGGGCCGGGTTCGCGAGGCCAAATGAGGAGAGCGAGCCCTGGTAATCTTGCACCGCAATACGGGATCGAAGCTGGGAGACTCGTCCCATGCTCGTATTGGTAGGTCTGGAAGATGGGAGACAACGCGAGGTGTTTATTGATGTTTCCGAAAACCATGGTGTTTGAAGCTACAGAGTGATCTTCCTGGGGGTCCGTACACAGAGAGGCCCCTAGCTCGTTTCCGTTACAGGGATAGCACGGCCCTAGCTCTCTCAACTGTCTCCCATTCGTGTCCCATTCCCCGGACACGCCTTTCAGTCGTCTCTCTCTACATTTTGAAAGTGGCTTATAATATTACTCAGTCCACGTTGAGTCAGACTGACAATATGACAATGGCTTTACATAAGTTACAAGTCCACATGGACGAGAAGCATTCGTCCGAACACCAGGCTCATCCATATCAGACGAACTCAATGAACTAAAACGAGACGTTTGGAAGAGCCCCCTTTGGAGTTTGTGCGCCCGAAACACTCCATGCTCCAGCTTAGCCCCCGGAAAATCACCCCGTGCAAGATGGAGAAGGACACCTGGAACTTTGAAGTTTAACGACTTCAACTCCACCTCACGGTGCTTTCGCTTTTAATCTCGTCTCTTTACCACAATCTCACATCAAAGCCGGCTTCTTCTCGTATCCTTCACTCTACGTATCTACCAGTGCGCAAAGATTGAGAATCTAGTACCCTGCCGCCAGCTAGGTATCCGCCACGATGCTGGACATCTACCAACTCAACCTCGCGGGCCTCCTCCTCGCTTGCGGCGCTCTCTTTGCTTCGGGCAACCAAGAAAAGTCGAACCCCTCCAAGAAAGATGAGAAGAAGCCTTCAGAGCAGAAGCCAAAGCCGACAGGCTCCCAATGGGCCTTCTACGTGGTCTATGCCCTCGTAATGGGTTCAGACTGGCTACAGGTAGCTTGCCTCTCACACAAACTCATTGATGGAACCTCTGACATGGCAACACTAGGGACCGTTCTTGTACTCTCTCTACAAGAACGAGCACCAAATCTCCGCAGACTTCGTGCCAACGCTCTTCACGACTGGCTTCGTCTCCGGCGCCGTGGCCGGCTACTTCATCGGCTCACTGGCTGACCGCCACGGCCGCAAGGCCAGCTGCCTCTTCTTCTGCGGCGCATACGCGCTCTCCTGCATTCTCACCACAATGCCCAGTGTACCTTTACTATTCATCGGCCGCGTCCTCGGCGGCCTGGGGACGAGTCTCTTGTTCAGCGTCTTCGAGAGCTGGATGGTGACCGATTTCCATGCCCGCCGTCTGAGCGAAAAGGGCATGGACCTCTCGCGGACGTTCGGTCTGATGAGTACCGTCAACAGCATCGTCGCTATTGTAAGCGGTGTGGTGAGCGAGTGGCTCGTTTCCGTGACCGGGACGCGCAAGTCGCCTTTCTTGGCTAGTGTCGGGCTGCTGGTCGTTGCTGCTGGTGTTATTGCGAGCCAATGGGTATGTTGCGACATCTCATCGTATTTGATTGCTATCTTCTGACTGACCGGATATGAAGGATGAGAACTACGGCTTGACAGGCCAAGCTTCTTCATCGGAAAAGTCCAACGCCAACAAGCCTAGTCTCTGGGCCACAATGACGGACAAGCGCGTTCTCACGATCGGCCTCGCCTCGACCATGTTCGAAGGCTCAATGTACCTCTTTGTAGTACTCTGGTCTCCGGTTCTTGTCTCCGCTTCCTCATCGCCCGAGACTCTGCCATACGGCATCATCTTTGCCTCCTTTATGGCCTCGACACTCCTCGCCTCTCTCCTGTACCCCCGCCTCCTTGCCCTCGTCTCCACGCCATCCCGGCTCCTGCTATCGGTCCTATTCGCCGCCAACGCCGTATTCTTCGCTCTCGGAACCGGTGCTCCTCGTGCAGAGCAACTTACCTTTTGGCTGTTCTGCCTGTTCGAAGCTTGCGTCGGGTTGTATTTCCCCTCAATGGGGTATCTCAAGGGGAAAGTCGTCGATGATGGTGTCAGAGCACAGGTGTACGGCGTTCTGAGAATCCCGCTCAATGTCTTTGTGGTTGTGAGTTTGATGTTCAGCAGCGATGGGCAGGCGGGCAAGGTGTTTCTCGTCTGTGGCATGCTGCTCCAGGCGAGTTGCGGCGCGTTGTGGCTCATGGGGGGACAGGATGCGTAGGTAGATAGTCATTCGTTGCATCGCTGCCTTCATACAATGATCTTCTCTTATTCAATAAAAAATTTGGTTGGTCTTCAGCTTGACAGAGCCTTCACTCCATCTACCTCATCGCCAGTCGGACACGCAGAGGCACCCTCATCCCCCCCCCCGACTGATGTCTACTTAAGCGCCCGTAAGACACATCAAACCCCACGAACGGGCCTTTCGGGCCGTTTGAGCACAACCTCGCTCGTTCGCCCTGGTTTCGGGTCTCGCTGTGCTAGGGCTTGGTGTTCTTGTGTCCTGGTGTTCGTATTTGACATATTCTCATGTCCGACGTGCCGCAGTGCATATGTACACATCGTGCTTCTCAAAAAGAACAAATGTGTGTAGCTAACCTCAGGGCGGGCGGAAAGTTCAATGTCATCTGACAGATCAGTCAGGCACAGGAATACAAGAACGGCAAGAAAATGTCTCAAGCTCGAACCATTGGCAGGACTCATTGTTGTATACTATACTATTACTATCTTCAGTATCTAAGTACAAATACCGCCTCACATTACTACCAAACGTCGGACCGAGAGCGACATGTGGAAGTAATGGCATTACATCCACTCACGTAGAAACAATAACCTGACAATCGCGAATATATGTGATAGCGCAAGAAACAACCCTTTCTCAGCGATGCAATTGGCCATCTAGTAGTCAACTGACCGAGGTCGTAGCATTGCGGGCTGACTCCGCGTGGTACCCAGTGTCGGGAGTTGGTCCATGGTGTCCGATGGAACAATCTCTTGGTCTTCAACTTCAATCTTCAAGCTGGGGACGCTATCTAGAGGCGTTGTTGTACCATCCAGCTAATCAGAGGCATGTCAGTCTAACATGACCTTGAAACTGTACAACACCATGTGAGAGGAAACGGACTGCAACTTTGTACTCACCTTGCTAATGACCACTTCCAGCCCGTCCTCAATCCCTCCAAGAACCCCACTTACTGAAAGATCACGCAAGCCAGCAGACTTCATACCTCGGTTCAGAGGAATCTCATCATAACTCTTTCCCTGCCTAGGCATATCCAGTAACGTGAAAGATCCGGCCATAGAGCCTTTCAGAAAGAGCTGCACTTGGCAAGGCAACTCCAATTCGCTTCTCTCAACCTCGACTTTGGCGACGTACTCCCTTCTCGGTGCCATTTTGCGCCGCCTGGTTCTCATGGAGGAGGACTTCTGCTCCAGGGGACCGTACAAGCTATTCACCGTCCTGCTGACTGCCATCTTGATATCTCCTGGTGTCTGGTCCCAGAATCTCATCGGAGCATACGTGTACCCCCAATCGCGGACATGGGTCACCGATACACTGGTAAGCGGACCACCGCCCGTTCCGACAAATGGCCACAAGGGGTACTGCGGGGTGACGGTGGTCCCTGATGGTGTGGCGAACATTTGGGACGAGGCGTAAGAGAAATGCATTGTGGCATTTTCAAAGTGAAGGGCTTGCCAGAAGGCGATGAGGCGATCTACGTTTGCATGATGAAGCCAGCTCGAGAGATTAATTAGACTTGTCCGAATAATGCCGAGGAAGAACTTACAACAGAGGTTCGAAAGCTGAGGTTGATAGATGAAGGAGATCCTGGCCGCATGCGGCCCCGACATGAACTTCTCCATGAGGTCCTTCGAAGTTGGGGCCTTCATTCTGGGCCGTGACCATCTCGTCGAAGGAGGTGGCTTTCACAAACACATTGTACTGCGATTTGTCAGTAAAAGAACCAACTTGAAGAAGTCTAGGCCAACATATGATGCCTTCCATAGTCCTTAGAATCCAGTTCCTCTACTTACCACTTTTTCCTTCAAGTTGTACCCCGCAAGCTTCGCATTTGCTGTATCAGGATAACTCTCACCATCCTCAACACAGCGTTTCGTATAATTTTGTCCATCAAAGCTGCCAAAACTGCCATCAAGAGCTGTCTTCGGATAATTATATCGGTAGAACGGGTTGCGCACCGCAACTGACTGCAAGGCGCCGTCCACTGGCTTCTTGGTGACAAGTGTCGGCAAGGCCGTCATGGGCGGGACCTGAGAGTCCGCCGCCCAGTCCCAATACGCAGCGCGCAAACTCTCTGCGGCTTCAACGTATGCCCTTTTGTGAGGTTCCGGATAAGACATCGCAATACGATTTGCGTAGTGGACCAGCACTTGCTGTAGTAAATGGTCAGTTTTCCTGCGCCAAGTGAGTTTCTATGTTTGCAGAACGGGTCGTACAAACCTCGTAAAGCGAGAGATATCCGCGATGCCAAGTGCCAAACAGTCCTTGCTTGTTGGCTATCAGCAGAATTTTCAACATTTTTAATATCAAACTGCTCAAGACGTACGTTGTGCGGGCAATATCCAGCGTCCGCTCCGGTTTGTGGTCCTCCTCCCGCCCAGGCCACGTACGGCTGTCCATGAATTCCTGCGATAGTTAGCGGAAGGTTTTTATGATACAGAAGCTTCTTGACGAACCAGCGACTTGGAAAAACGATGTGGAATCAGTCTCATTCGCATCCTGCATCGCTGCGAGGGCTCCAACGTATAAGTCCCTAGGAGTATGTGAGAAAGATTGCCTCCGCCATCAAGTTCTGTTCTTACCATTGCGGTCCTGCCTCTCCATATATGTTGTTGATGTTCCTCCGGATCGGCATTTCGCCAGTCCGCATGTTTATACCGGATCTCACTCCAATAATAGGGTACTCTTGCGCCGTGATACTCCATGGTGCGGCAGCCAGAATGCCAACGATGAGTGACAAGGTCGAAATCATTGCGTATTGAGGCGGTGTTCGTTAGGCAAATGGAAACACGTGAAGGAAAGGAAGGCCATTCCTTTAAAAGTTTGGGAAGTTGCAACGATTTTATTCTTCTCTCACATGGAGCAGTCAAGTGCTCCCTTCTTCTTTCCCATATTTCGAGCAAACGAATGCCGTCGGATCCGATCCATGATCCCGTGCTGTCACCAACCTTGTATCATAACCCAGAATGTGGGAAACTCATCATGCTCATGTACCTGCCGCCGCGTACCGTTGCGCGACATGGTGACGATGTTACCCTTCCTCTACCTAGATGGAGGAGGTGGACGTATGATCAGCTGGTGACGACCCTGGGAGTATTCGCATCCAGGAACAATCGTAGGACTAACTTTTGTATAATTGACCAAAATAGATACGGCGCCTGCTTGTATCACGACATCTTCAAGGGCCGCCTTGTGGGGGGCCTCCTCCTTTTGATGAGTCTTTGCTCATTTTGGCAACATTGACGATAAGACTCATCCTGAATTAGGAAGCCTCGACCGCTCCGCAATTTCGAATCTAGAAACGCGACGGGTGACTGCTTGCAGACCATGAGACAGGGAAACGGTAAATCATCGTCAAGAAAGCAGAGCGGTCAATATTGCCGTCGCTGCGGCTTTGCTATGGTCCCTGATACGAGCGTTATTGAGCGTCTCCCTCCTGGCGCTGATTTGTAGCCTGACCGAAATTGTGTTGGTCACAACCTTCGCCTGTCTCACGAACAGAAAGCACCACGCTCCGTTTGTGACATGATACCGTCCTTCCGAGATGCAGCCAGCCGATTGGTGAAACAATGCGAAGCCACGCCATCATTGAACTTTCTTCCGCGCTTCTTCACCGCTCTCGGAGGAGCTCTATAGAAGCGCTTGTTCATGAAGATGGAGATGCATTGGCTGGGGAATACGATGTTTTATTCCCGGGAAATGTAACTTCTATGCTGCACGAGGTGTACGAAGCGCTCTGACGTGGCAGAGATCAAGCTCTTCAGCGGCTACAAGAGTTGTCGTCTGTGATGCGTGCCTTCACGATGTCTCTTAATGTATTATGGATTATATGTTATGACAAGGTTTGGGAGGAACGACAGACGCATCGCAGCTGTTGGTGACTATGACACATAAGCGTGTGAGCAACTGGTAAATCTTCATCATGTCAATAGGTTGACTCGCTGGTCAAATCTCATATTCCACGATTGTATGCTAATGGTATTAGACATTGCAGAATGTAGATCCTAAGAAAACAAAACTTTGCCTTCAAGAAAACAGCTTTTCGCTCAACCGAGATAGGAAAATAAGACAGATCTGTCCTTGACAGACTTGCCAAGGTAACTCCAATGACGAGGTTCACAAAAGGCCTGCGCTCTTCGTCATCTAAACAATACAAATCCACACACCAAGAAAGTCCTTTATGCAACTCCGAGTCCTGCTCTACTCAGAACCAAGCAAAGGCTCGTGACTCGTGTATTTTCGGTTTGAAAAAGGAAACCAGTGCCATAGTGGAAAGCTGGCCTCACAGCGATTTCTCAAGAACAACAAGTTCACGGAATCCCTCTTTCCACTTCTTCATCTGCTCGGCCGTGGGCTTCGGCAATGGGCTCCGGGCCACGCCACCATAGCCCAGCCATGCCTGGAGGCCGGCCTTCACACCTACAACACCCCCTTGGATCGCTGTCCAGTCACCTTGTGAAACGGTCTCTTGCATATCCTGAGCTTCTTGGTGTCTTGCCTCTTGAAAGAGCTCAATGGTTCTGATGCAAGCCTTGGGGGCGATGTTGGCCAGGCCTGCAAGGATGCCATGACCTCCAGCCACCAAAGACTGGATAGAGAAGTCGGCTGAACCTGCCAAGACGAGGAATTCCGGAATCTTTGAGTTGGGGTTCTTTGCTAGCTTTCTCGTAGCAGCAGCGACGCGGTTCAACTTTCCCGTGTTTCCGCATGTAAGCTTCACACCCACGATATTAGGATGTTGAGACAACTGCACAATGACGTCGGAGGACAAATCCATGCCTCCCACTGCGCCAGGAAAGTTGTAGATGATGAGTGGAATCGGCGACGCATCAGCCACCGCATGAAAGTACTCGAAGATGGTTTCCGATGACGGAGCAAAGAGACCAGCGTAGTATGATGGAGGGAGAACCAAGGCATAGTCTCCACCAGCAGCCCATGCCTCGGTGCAGTATTGTATCGTCTCACGTGTGCTCTGGCTTCCGCAGCCGACGATGATGGGCATGTGAGAGAACCCGGCGTCGTTGAGAGCCTGCCGCGTTGTTGCCGTGACGAGTTGGCGCTCGGCGTGTGAGAGATGGACTGCTTCTCCGTTGGAGCCCTGGGTGGCCAGGCCGGTCACACCCGCTTGAGCAAGTCGTACTGCATGGCGAGCAACCGTGTCGATGTCCACGTTTTCCGTAACCGGCTCGAAGAAGCACATGGTAGGTACGTAGACGCCAGGAACAAGCGGCCGGGTTTCGTGCAGGCCGGCGCCAAGTGATGCGCTGTCGTATGAGCTGCTCAGAGGAGAACTTGATTCAGCCGCGGCCAGACTCCCGATTTGTAGATTTGAAGATGTGATAGGGTTGAAGGGGATCCTGTCGAAGCCGGCTGTGAAACTGCCCGCCGGCGAGGGCGCATCTTGGTGAGGGGCCATAGCTGCTGTGGGAGATTGTAGTAGAAGTTCTTTCTTTCAGGTGAGACGACAGGAAGCACAACGTAGGATACACGAAGCGTTATGAAGGTAGGTATAATAACGAGGATATTGGAGTAAGATGGTGAGGTTGGAACCAAAAGGAGTAGATGCTGTGTCGATCCTGGTTTATGTAGCTTCTCAAGGTCCTTCAACAAGTCGAGGGAGACGGGGGAAGTGGGAAGAAGGCCTTTTATCATCGGAGGGAAGGGAAAGAATGCAGGCAGTGAGGCATGATGTGACCCCGTCAAAAGGCGGCATATCAATATCAGTCTTGTAACGGACCAGTGGCGTCACAAGGTGATTCGTGACTATGGCGGCTCGTCCGTCTAGTAAGTCAGCGTCGCCCGGGATGAACAGAATGAGACGGGCTTCCAACGGATGAACCGGCTTCTGCATACGAGCAAGGTCCTTCTTACGCTCGGACTCCAGGAAAAGACGCGCCATGTGTGTAGTCATGGGCAAACAGGCCATTTCGAACTGACCAGCAAGGATCACTCCTGGCCAACTGTAGTGGTACGAAGATATGCAGCGTCGAACCAGGATGTTGGGGAGACTGGAGTGTCTAGACCAGGGCCTCGCGACACAGTGCGTGGAGTCAAAGGCAGGATCGCTGCTTAGCCATGCAAGAGGTGAGGCCGGCGTCTGCTAGTGGGAAAGATGGAGGTGGGATGGCTGACCCCAACCCAGATATGTCTTCTGGGGTATTACGCCGCTTGACGTGGGGGTTAGCTTTAAAAGGGCCTTGATCTCCAAGTTGCCTCCTTGGGCACCTGCAGAATCGAGCATTCCAAGCCGGCATTGCCATCCCGCTAAGCTTCAGACCTGAGTAGTCTTGGAGGATATGTGAATAACCTTCAGATCTAAGGGACCATTCTGCCGATGAAGTCTGTGAGAAATGAGCCGTGAAAGACTTCGTGACCAGCCGCACGCAGGCCGGGGTGTCATCCATGTGGCTCGGTATTCTCGCACAGGTGGATGGAACGACGTCCTTCTCTAGTGTTGGTCTTGTTTGCGCCTCGATCTAAGTTCTATCAATGAGTTGATGTCGTGGGACGATACGGCACCTCGACCGGCACTTATGGGCTTAACCGATTTGGCATTGAAGAGATGGCGACGCGATTCAACAGCAGAAATGGATTTGCTACATTTGCGCTGGCTAGTTCCGGTGAAACATCTGCTTAAATTCAGTAGTAAACAGCGGATGTAGTCACAGAGGCAGACGAAGTTTTGGAATAGAGACGTCGTTTGAAATTGAGGTACGCGCTTCTTCTTTGGGCGTCGTAAAGAGTGATACTTGGTTGCGAAAGCCTCTCGTGAATTTCATAAATTCACTAGGAACAAGAAGCTGAGTTGAAGGGGACACGCCAGTCGCTGATCGGCACTTGCACATGTAATCCTCGAGTGAGTGAGAGTGGGGGAGAAAGATTTTGTTCCTGCTGCCGTGTTCTCACCTTCACCATCCAAGCGGCCTCGTCCTGTCCCAAATCATGGTTCTGCAAGATGGACACCACCGCCTGATACCGAGAGGTACAGCTCGTCTACCGCAATCTTCGTTTTCCATCGAATCATGTGTCTATCTTCTATACATTCCATGCGTCGTCGGTCAGGAACAAATGTTGACGCATGGATGAAGTACAACATCGTCTTTTATTTCCACAGAATAATCCAGATCTGCCTCATTGAGGGCGTCAAAGTGTTTCTATTCGCTGCTTTGTGGCGAAGGCCTTACGAGCCCCTGTCTTAAGGGCAAGGTTTAATACCAAACAGCGAACGGTATGAGAAGAACCTGGTCAATATCTACCGAGTCAACGAAGAGGTGGAAGTGGAGGCCCAAGTACGGGATGAGCGCCCAGCATCGGACACATTACACCGCTGCAAGTCATGCACACACATGAAGGCTGGCTAGCCATGCAGTCGGTTGATTCGAGATACCTCGTTACGACATGGCTATGGAACCTCGAGGTTGCAAATTGGCTCCACCGCTCAGTTTCCAGATTGGGAAACTGTCTTCGTCATGTGTTCTGAATAATTTTCCAAGCCATCGTTCCTCAAGCGCCCTGCAAACGTCCAAATCGAATTGCGAGAGGACCAAGCGCATCGACTCACGAGTGAGAACGGCCTTGCTGTCATCGGATGTTGGACGGATCGACAGACTTTAGACAACACTAACCCCCACGCTAGCCAACGTGCCAACTCCCCCGGAAAGCCAGGTGCCAACTCGTTTGAGGGGTCCCCTTGCCACGAGATATTCCCAGCTTCTCAAGGCGGTAAGGCAGCCCTCATGATTTACGACGTGCTTTCAAACGACATGTATCCGTCTTAGGTTGAACCATTTGTCGGTGGCAGTGTATTTCTCTCTGCCTGCCCTTGGTCGCGTGCCGAGTCTTACATCTCTTGCAGTCTTACTATGCATCAACTTCGTTCTCGTCCACCACTCATTCCCACATCTTTGGCTGGAGAAAGCAAGGCCCTGTCATCATCAGCGCATTGATGACGGTGAACCTAGTCTTGTTACCTGCTTATGGATCCATATTCCTGCGTCGGTCGTCGTCCAGATGCAAGTACGAACCCCGTGACAATATGGAAGGGCTGTAGTTGTGCCCGACGTCTTGGCAATTTCCTCATGCCGCCATCGACAGTGCCAGTCTTCTTTCTTTTCTACAGTGTTTGTCCGCTCGTCCATTTCCGCCGGTCAAGTCTCTGGAAGCTGTCGTTAGCGCCTTAGGGAATAGTTGCAAGTGTCTGCTGACCACAAATCACCCCTCAAGAATGGAGCTGGACTCCGCCCACATGGTGTGGCAGACGTCGTTGCCAGCAGTTTTTCTGATGTTGCAGCTGCGCCGCGCGACCTTTCCCCTTTTCCACCCCGAGATGCACACTGCCATCACGTCGGATAACGGCACATCGCCACCAACGGGCGGTCCCCCCTTCCAGACAGACGACCGGCTTTCCCCGCACTTTTCTTGACAGCGATCTTGATATCGTTCTCCGCGGGTTACGCTCTGTTCTTCAGCCGCACGACATCGTGCCTCCATCGACGTCGTGTTCCACACCATTGGCCTAGAAACACGAAAGCCTCCCCTTACTATGATTGATGGAGAAATACGTCCGCCCCTCCTAATGTCAATGACTCTCCTCGCATTTATCTCGGTTTCGCACGAAATGTGATGCCGTCATGGACATCGAGGGCTTTGAAATGGCAGTCCAATCGAATTACACAACACACACTCCGGCAGCCAATTCTCTACGGATGGAATCATGATTTTGACACCGCATCGCCCTTACAACGATCAGCAGCGAGCCGCCTGTGACACTTCTGCAGGCTTGTAAATCCGGGGGCGGGACGTCATGCGGTGTGGATCCCAACATCCTGGCCTTCCACGGAGCCCAACATTGCTGGCACCACTCTCACCTACACGGGACCAGACTACGATTCTACTCGCTGTACTAATCAGGTGAGCGGAAAATAATCACTGATACCCTTGGTTGGGTATGGATTTCCGCGTTGTTGACATGGGCAATTCTTGTCTTTTCAGCGTGCTTGTAGGTCTTGGAAGTCCCGGATGACCACTTATCCTTAAGCCGCTACATGCCGCGCCAATACTTATTAAGTGATGGGCAATCCTCCACGTGTCTTGCAGCAATGAGGGCAGCAGTGAGGGGATCAAGAGTCAACCCAGCCTATAGTGATGGCAACTCGATCTCGATGGGGTCGCCAAGGTTGAAACGTTGAAGAGGCAAGATCTTGTTTCCTCTTCGCCACTCTTAACTTTCTTTCATCATAGCTATGCTCTCTTGTTGTTTCCTCCTTCATCTTGGAAGGTATATTGATGCCTAATAATATACGATGCGCTTACTTTCGGCAACGTTGCTTGCTACCACCCAAATGTCAATAGGTGAGACTGGCTGGAGCCATCCTATAACCGACTTTCGTCGAGTTCTTGGCGTTGTCATGGTTTCAGAGCTCACGACATTCTTCTTCTATTCTTACCGATCGTCGGTCATTTTAGATGTCCGAAGAAATCTCTTATAGACGAGGTTGGCACGCCTTGAACTCGCATTAACAATTATACGTGAACCGTTCGACTTTGCTCTAATCCTCTAGCTTCTTTTACTGTCTTTCACATGCCTTTCGGCGCCTAGAAACCCTACGGAGAACTTACTGACTGCTGTGAGACCTATACATATGCGGAGCACCCTGTCAGGATTCACTCATCCCCACGGCTGACCGAGGGGTTGTCTCGCTGAGCCCCCACACCCCACGGCAAGTCTCTGCGGGCTTGACAAGGAACGTTGACTTGACCTTCCCGAAGAAGTTCAGGTGAAGGAGCAGGCGCCTTGGAGCAGTCAATCCGGGGTTCTGGGACCTTGGAAAGAAGGATGGTGTTCTCGTTCCTGGCGGGGCTTACCTTAGTATGTTGCTGTCGGCCGGTGGCCAGCGAGGACAAGCTGCTAGTTGGATCTCTGTGCCTGCTTGGATACCCTATTTTGACTACACATCTTCGGAATAACAGTTTCGATAATCAGTAGGCACTGTGTCTCAATTAAGGATGTCGGCCTTTACATTCCGTAGCTGGAGAATCATTCGTTACTTGAACTTCACGATGAGAGGGTTCATACTGCCAGAGTGAGTAGTATAATACGAAAGTCACACGCCTGAGATGATATATCCTTTCATTATGAGCCAGCTAATTAATCAAATTCAGGCAAAAATCCATGGTACTTACAATGTTGGTAGAGAGATACCCAAGATTCTGAGGCCCCCATCCAGAACTTCCAAAATACCCACCTCCTTCCATAACGGAGCAGTCGCTGGTTGTACAAGAACTGTATGTCTCCAGGAGTTTGAAGAATAATAGGAGAAGTAGCTTAGTCGTCTAAAAAGCGAAGTCGCACATAACCAAAAGAAATCCTGGCACACAGGCTCGTCCCAATGGCTGAATGCACCGTAAACCGCCGCCGGTTTCTCGGTCTCGAGGCTGTACTGAGGCTGTGTCTCGACCTCGCCTTTTTCTTATTGAATTACACTCATTTTCTTCTCCCTTTCCAGCGGACTAGACAACAGCTTCTGCGTTTCAAATATAATCATATCGACATGACAACAAAAACCACGTTGTAGATCTCCTCCCCGGTGTATGTGCCGGCGTCAACACAATAAGGCTTAGTGTAATCCCAAAATCGAGAAGCTGTCCAGACTGGGTCTTCATAGTATTTCGAAAACATGTCACTGTGTTTATATCAGAAGAAGACGGTTACTCTCTTGAAGGCATGGGAACAGTCACCCATAAGTCATCAAGTATGACGTGACATTCGACACAAACGGTAGCCGAAGCGACATCCGACGCTTCGAATGCTTTTACTTGAAGTTAAAATGGCCTTGCTTTCGGATCAAGATTAAGTTCACCAGCTTGCGGCGAGAACATCTGGCTTCTAGTAAGCTTCTGGGGACTGTGAATGGGCGGCCTGCCGTCGCTGTCAACCTGTAGATTTCCAAGCACCTATTAGATGGGAAATAATGTTAATTTTCCGTTGCTTCAACTGTCCGGGCCAGTAATCTAGGTATAAACTCACTGATGGAAGTTCTTTCAGAAGGAAGAAATACGGAGGCCCGTAGTCACCACACTTTCCCACCCGCAGAGTAAAAGTTCCAGCATAGTCCATCTCTAGGCGTGCAGACACAACCTGACCATTGTATTCACTTCCATCCCGTTCCATACCTATGAGCCCGCCAAATCAAGTTCATCATGAATCCTGTGCTCTATTCCCAAAGAATTCTATCATGTCTATCAGCATATTCTTCGAATAGCAATGATCTAGCCCATCATATGTCTTAAAGTCAACATCAAAGCCCATCATCCTTAGGACTCTTGACGCCTCTTGGCCGTGATGGACCAAGACATTGGCATCCGCAGTTCCATGACCAAGAAACACGGGTGTCTCTTGGGACGATAGACGCATCGCCAGGTCCGGTACCGGGAGACCTATTTCGCCTCCAAGAATGCACAATGCCTGATGCGTGGGATCATATTCAGCTTCATCTCCTTCCCCGCCAGCATTTGAGTCGTTATCAGGGTGCTCAAAGGGGTCGTCATCAGAGTATTCTGGCGCCTCATCATGCAGTCCATCCAGCCGACGTTGTCCCTTCACCAAGGCCTCGCTCATCACGCCAGCCATGGGCAACATCCCGCACATACCAAGTATGCCGCCGAGTGGCTTCCCCCGCCACATCAACAGGCAAAGAAGCGCCGCAGCGCAACCTTGACTGAAGCCGCCCAGCATAACTTTACCCGTCCCGCCCACCCGAATAGCTTCATCATCGATAAGAGAGTGTATAAACACAACCGTCTCCTTTGCGTGGCCCAAGAGCGTTTCCTCCCAGTCACCGCTCCCGTCGTACCATTGGTTGATAATGGACCGCCTGTAGATAGTTGCCCGCGACCGCGGCGCAGTCGGGAATACGAAGCGCGTGTGCGGTAGAAGATCTTGAAAGGTACATGTATTCAGGCCTGATTGTGTGGTTGGATCATCCAGGGGGACAGACAGAAACTCCGGTGCAAAGATTTTGGCACTGGAACCTCGGCCGTGCAGGAGGACGATGGTCTGCTGGTGCGGCTGCTTCAGCGGCGGTATAATTATCGGCGGAGGGAAAGAATGCAGTGGCAATCGCGGCTCAGAGATGATTCCTGGCGCTTTCTCTACGTCTGCACCCTCGTTCATTGGATATGTGTTGGTATGTCAAGTTGCTTTGGGCCTGGGAAGCGTAAAGCGGAACAAGCAAGTTGCAAAGTTTGAGATGACGTTCGGCGATGGAGCCGGATAGTATCCACAACGACCGGAGTGCTTCCCGTGACCGACCGACTTTTGTGACCGGATGCGGTCTTCAGACGACGGAACCTGTCCAGCAACTGTATTCAATGATATAGTGGAAGGACAAAACAATATTAAAGACGATAAATTACGTTGGCTGACTATAAACGCCTTTCAGGTGTGATGGATACCCCGGGGCTTTAACTCCAAATGCATCGCCGACGTAACTAGAAACCACCTCCAGGACCGGCATCGCGATAAATATCTTACAGCCTTGGAAGAAAGGCCGGCGGCATTGGCCAACCTCTGTCGAACCCCGTCACGGTACATTGACAACCTCATGACCACCCTCTTCGAAAGTCTCAAGAGAGACAACAGCCACGTTATGAAGGTATGCCCGGACTGGTGGCGGCTTAGTACCGTATTGAACATCTTCTTCTTGGACACCTTGATCGCAGTCGTTATCTTCACTTTCCTCAAAATGTAAAGGACCAGGCCGAGAAATAGCTATACCGAGGGATACCTTCGCGACAAACCTGCTTCGTTGCTAGCCAACCGTCGAGCACCGATGGTATCTGTAACTTGCCGTGATGCACTTGAATCCTCGGGATTTCTAGCACTTCGAGTCTCATCATTCACAACTTCCTTCAGTGGGGTTTTCTGGTCTCGTTTAGTTATCAAAGGACATAAGATATCCCATAGTACGTATATTGATCCTGTACCTAGTGATCAAAGCCCTGGAAATGACTTATTTCGACAGCCTCGCGGCATGGAGCCAGAACACAGCAATCTACAGCACTGATTGAACGGGAAACGACGTTCTCCGAGGCGGATCTTTTCCTGTATACTTACTTGCCAAAATGTAGGATAGTGACATGATCCCAGAAGTGACCTCAACAACGTAACTCTTATCTCAATAACGAAAGGTAAAAACAATTGGAGCACGGCACTATTGTTTGAAGGGGCGTAAACAGAACTGAGACTTCGCCAGAGCCGAAGCTGAATGGATTCTAGATCCCGGCGCTTAGTAGTACACCGTCAAGCGATAGTACCAACCTTCTAGGCAACCTTGCCGTCACATATCAACGGCCTCAAATCTGACTCCTTGCAAAGGCGAGACCTGATAGGCAGCCGCCGCCCACCCAAGAAAGGAGTGCGATGGATGAGTATAAGTCGAGAATCGACCCCTAGGACAAGGCATGGAGATATTGCCCCATGCGCCGTCAGATCTATATCACGACATCCAGCAAGAGTCAGCACCTATAACGACTAGCACATCCTCAGCTCTTCCTCTTGGAAGCGGCACGGGAATCCTCTGCGGTTGGATGGCGCCGGAGTAAGCAAAGGAGCAAAATATCCAATCCTCGCATAAAGATGACTGCATTGTTTTAAATCAGCGTTCTGACGGACGAACGATTCCGTTTAGTCGTTTGTTCGTGGGATTGTAATGAAGGATCGTAAGCCCAAGTCAGCACCTACACTTCGGCAGGATTGAGCAGGAACCTATGAAGAGGGCATCCCGTTTGACCGAATGACTGTATGCAAGACTATTGGCTACCGTTCAAATTGAGCGGCACGCGACCCCATGAACCCAGGTTCAGAGGAGAGGGGAACGGTCGGAGACGCCGTGAGTCGGGTCCGATGGAGAAAGACCTTGACCGCCGTTGTCTTTCCAGCCATGCCATGTCATCTGACAGACCCGGTTGGAGCGCGTAAAAGAGACTCCAAAGTTCAAGAGTCATAAGGCTGAGCGAAGGCCAGGAATGCAGCTAGACGTCAGTGGACTGCCCATACGGGACTTGCAGTATGCGAACATGCGGACATTTGACAGAGTCGCTCCCGCAGATAGACAACTTTTACGAGGTTTCGGTCAAGATTAGCGAAGGGGTGGCAGATGCTCCACACTGTCATGGTATGCTTGACGAGCACTTTTCCATCTTCGGAGACGGGCGGGCAGCGGCGACAACTGTTGCTGGGGGTGTGACTGTGGACGGGATGGGGCGGCGGGCTCGGGTTCTTCGTGGAGTTAAATTTAGAGATGCTACTGGCGCTAGTGGCGCGCCTTTAACTGTTTTCTCCAGGGGATCGCCTGGGTGTTTCTTTGGGAATGTTGGCCCGTTCTGCCAGCCGGCCAGCGTTCGTTCCGGGATGATGGATGCGACGGTTCAGGCCTAGAGGGATTTTTATTTTGGTGAATCTTCGATGCCGGCAGTCGTGGAAGCTGGTTCTTGAGGCTCCGAGAGTTGGGGATCTTGCAGGATCGGCTTGGATATGTCATCGATGATCGGATAGGCGCAACAAGGTACCTGCGTGGCGAGCGGCTACTGGTCGTACAGAGGACATGCGTGTTTGCAATTCGATCCTGGTGACCACACTCTCAAGCCTTCTGCCTCACCTCACTATGTTGTGATACCTGTCAACTTCCCTGACGGCACGGCATAGTCTCTGATGCAAGTCTTTGCTGCAAGCCTTGCGCCTTCTCCACGCCCAATGTGGGGAGTATCAGACTGCACAAAGTTCATCATGTTGATAAGCGCAATTCCCAAAGGCAAGCCCTATGTACGAACAGTCTCCACGAATACCAGCATCAAAAGGGTATGGCATGATAGTGGCCCAGTCGAAGCGATGGAGAACCCAAAAGGAGGTGGGCTCAGTGACGTTTCGGAGCCGGGATCGGCCTTCCTCGCCGCGTTCTGAGCAAAGGGAAGCCCGAGCTCCTTTCGATGCCATCAGCAGGCTGAAAGGATTTACATCAAATGGTGTTGTTATGTGGACTCGGAGCAACGAAGTGGTCTGCCGAAAGGGCTGAGATGCGGTTCAATGCCGGGTTGACGAGCAGAGACCACAGCCTATTGTCGATGTTGGCTTGCACAGCCACCGCCTGACAGCCTGGGAGGGTGGTTTGAGGCAACCTGACCAGCTGGATACGAGTGCCCACTGCCAACGAAGGTTGGCCGCTGCACAACGCATAGAACGTGGAAGAGTCCGGGATACTCCGGGCTGCCGTTCAGTCGATGGTTGCACGCTGCCAGAATAAGCCCCTTAAACGACTCGGGGCTATGAAACGTTGCGGCGGCTGTGGCACGGGGCGGCCGTATTTTCCTTCTGTTTCCCTGCGGCAGCGCGCTTGCCTCGACTCATCGTCGCTTCCCTTCGGTCCAGTACCGAGGCCAAAGTTGAAAGGCAAAGCTTTTCCTTTCGTGTTGTGAGATGGCGCGTGATGAGTGGTAGCCCCGTGTTCGTCTTGGCCCCTGGCCGTACAGCGGAGAATTATGAAGATCTCTGGAGTATTTTCGGGGCATCGGCACGCTGTCTGAAGTGGCTAAGAGAAATTTGAATTTGCACTTACCTCACGGTAAAAGCATTCGCGCCGGTGGTGGAGAGACAAGGGTGAAGCTATTAGTCGGCGAATGAGAAGGTAATGAGATCTCAGAAAGATGAAATGAGTGTATCCGTATCGTACGGATAGGTACCGTAGAAACTCGAGCAACTCGAACTTGCGCTAGCCCGTGCCAGCCCTGCTAGCGGCCCACACTAAGCCCTTTCGAGGGATCAGTTTTATCCGATTATATAATCGACTAAACCGTATACGGAAGGCGGTAAGTGATTATTTTCCATTTTTTACTCCTACCCAACTGCCCACTTCCACCGATTACATCACCGATTTGACCACCAATTATACTGTCAATTATACCTCCAATTACACCTCCACCACGGGCCTCGTCGACGTGCCCACGATGCCCTCACGACGGGCCCTTGCCGAGAAGGATTCGAATACGGCAAAAGTGCCAATTACACCTCCAGCAGCTAAGCGCCGCGGGCCTGCTCCTACCCCCATCAAAGACCGGAAATATACACCGCGAAGTGGCCCAATCAAGCGCCGCCAGCACCACTATACCCACGATACCAAAGTCAACGTCCTGATGTTTTTAGAGCATCACCACGTGAGGAAGCTCGACGAAGAGTCGATTTGCCCCCCGAGGCTGCGCCAGGGCGAGACCGAGCTCCCAGGGATATACAGACGTCCCACATACCAGGAAGCCGCAGATTGGTTCAAAGTCCCTCGAAGCACGGTTATCTCCTGGTATCAGAACCGCGAGTCAATCGTCAATCGGTCCTCCAACTACGCCTACCACCCTCAGTGGCCAGAGCTCGAGACAGCGCTATACGGCGCCTTCCGCCAGCGACGAAGTGAGGGAAAGCTCGTTAGTACCAGTTGGTTCAAAAGGACCGCTAAGCGGATTTTCGCCCAGCAGAACCCGAACAGCAAACATCTTTTTATTTTTTCCCCCGGTTGGTTTCGTGGCTTCCAGAATCGTATGAGAATTACCCGACGTCGACTTACCAAACAGGCAACGAAGTTACCCACTGAGTACTTCAAAGTTGTCAACAGCTTTCTTTCCTTTATCCGACGAGTTAATCAAATGGCCCTGGCTAAGGTGAAGCGGTCTAACGTCGGAGATTTACTCGGAAGTCCAGCCCGTCGATTTCCTAACTCGCGAATTCTCAACCTCGACGAGACCCCAGTTCCTTTCGAATACCTAGACGGTTACACATACGACGACGTCGGGGCCAAAACCGTGGCTGGCAAGAGCGACCGCAGCGGTTGGGGCAAGCGGCAGGCCACATTAATACTCTACATCTTCGCCGACGGCATACAACGAATTAAACCGAAAATAATATTCCACGGCAAGCCCGCAGAGGAAGGGGGTCAATTATGGAAAAAAGAGGGCCTATTATACGCAGAAGGAGTGACAGTTGAGTTCAACAAGACTGCCTACAACAATGAGTACTTGTTCAAAAGATGGATTGAAGAGGAATTGGTAGCGCTGACTAAGGGAGACGAGTACCTATTGGTAATGGATGTCGCTTCCTTCCATAAGACAGATTCCATCCTTGCGCTATTACGTCAGCACCACATCACACCCTGCCTCATACCGCCAGGGACCACTTCCCTCCTCCAACCTCTCGATACCGCAGTCAATAAGCCCTTCAAGCAGTGGCTTTCAGAAGCAACCGACGCTTACGTACTCGACGAGGAAGAAAAAGCGCTGAATAAGCAGGAGGAGCTCAAGTGGGAGACGGGTATGAAGAGAAGAATGGTCACCAAAACAGTCGAGACGGCAGCCGCTAAATTGGCCCACGAGAAGGGCTCAATGGTCAGCCAGGCCTTCCTGCAGTGCGGAATATCTATTCGGCCCGATGGCAGCCAGGTCGACGAGATCCGGATCAAAGACGTGCCCGCCGAGGCCATCGATTACACTGGGTGGGAGCTCTTCGACGTAGAAGCCCACATTGAGCAGGAGACGCTGCAAGAGGAGATTCCAGACTTCGCTGTTCTGAACGACGGGTTAGAGTACATTTTCACAGCAGAGGAAGTCCGTGATGGCATCAATGGGCAGTTCGTCGACCCGACAGTCCAACCGCCGTATGAATAGGGGCCCGTTGGAGGCAGTGGGCCAGGGGACAGTCAGGGGCTCGGTTGCTTACGTACGACTGCTTCCAATTGACACTTTTGCCCTTTTTGCCAATTCGACGAGAAAAGCTCAAAACCGACGAGAAAGCCAAAATAATTATTGAATTATATCAATTGTGGGTCCGGCCTCGACGGCGAGCTCTCATTGGTCAGATCGATCGAAATGTTAACCTACGCCAAAAATAGGTGGCGGCCGCATTTAACCACTTTAGGCAGTATTACGATTCTGCCAGAGCGCTAGCAGGGCTGGCACGGGCTAGCGCAAGTTCGAGTTGCTCGAGTTTCTACGGTATTGGAAATGACGGTGGGAAAAGGGGTGGGTTGCACTGTGACCGGGCAAAGAACTCTTGTCAGCCCCGAGCCGCCCTTTGTTTCGAACCGTCAGGCTGAAGTCGGTTTGGAGCTTTGCGGACCATGAGAAGAAGAAACCAAGGGAGTCCTGGAAGGATGACTCCTGTTTCAACCTCTGAACAGCAGGTTCCGGTTCGCGATAGGTCAGAACTGGCAATCTGGCTTGGCTGCTTGGTTCTTGGAGCACCAGGTTGATGGACTTGGTGGGATAAACGGGGCACTGCAACAGTTTACTCTGGGGGATCGAGTGGTCGTGGTTGGCTAACGGTGGCCGCGGGGCTCGGTGTATCTCAGGAGGCGGGATGAGGAAGTAAAGAACCTGGGCCTCTGAAAACTTGATCATTGGTACCACCGAAATGAGCGCGGAGAACAACCCGAAAGTCAATAGACGCGCTGGACCAAACAGATGGTTGCAACTCCCTCAAAGGCGCCGAGAGAGCATATCTGCTCCTGCGTTGCTGGGCGCAGCATTGCTTACTCCTCCGTTATGCGCGCGCGCAAAATGTGACCTAGGCGTACGAAGTATTGCTGCATAGCGAGTGTAGATGCAGGGTCTCAGTGTGGCATCCAGCGACGACAGGGTTCCTCTTGAGCAACACATCCGAGCAGGAAATACCTATCCGAACGTAGAGTGCCAAGGTCTGACGATATGCTGCGGTGCCAAGTTAAGGTGCGCTAGGTTTTGGAGGGGGATCTCCCACTGGACGAGCGAGAGTTTGGCTTCGCAGCGGGAAGCTCACGGCCAAACACGGCGCCATCGTCGGGCAACGGGGCCCCGAGATTATTCTTGTCTTGCTGTGGTATTGTTGTTGACCAGGGCAAGGCGAGTTGCTGAGTCGAGTCGAGCGCGGGGGTTCGATCGAAGCTGGAGACCGCCAGTCCGTCACTGAGAGAGTCAAGGTTTTGAGACAGAACGACACGGACCGGCTCACGGATGCGCCGCAGGGATCACCGCTGCTTCATCTGCTGAGTTGTTGCAGGCACCGGCCATCAGGTGGACGTACGACGGCGGCAGGCTGCAGTGACTGTCCATCTGTGCCATGGTGTCTGGGTCTTGGAGCCCCCCTGCAGTGAACACAGACTGCAGTGCCCCTTATTTTGTCAGGCGAAGGAAGCATGAAATTTGTTGCCCTGTTGGCTTGGTACTTGATAAGACACGTCTCGATCAATATGTTGAACATGTCTGGCTTCCCTGGAAAGCCGAGGAAGCAAATCGTCTCGATCGTGCTTGAACAGCTTGTCGAACAGCAGCGGCACCACCTTTGTCTGCTAGCGGGCCCCCTGCCATGTGCCCTCTCGGAATGCTGGCGAAGGAACAAAGAAGGCCAGCGGCTGGTTGACAGCAGGAAGCTAAGCCTGGCTGGCTGACACATTGCTGGACGTTGCCTCCAAGTCATCCCGAGGAATGGTTCGCCTCGTGGCAGCAGCTCTTTGGAATGCGCTGGAAACGGCCCGGTCAAGTTGAAGAAGCCGGCGGCAACACGATGTGCAACGCAACGTCACTCGTGGACGTGGTGGTGGCAGTAGAGGTGCTGAGTGTTGAGGCGACTATGATGGAATCTGATGTAGTGGAATTCCGCGCGCTTCATCACGAAGCGTAGCGAGGTGTCTCCTCGTGTTCCATGTCAATCATTGCTGATCATCCGACGTCCCAGGTGGTCATTGCCAGGAAATTATGCTTGATTGACCGTGGGCCTTGGTCCGCAATGATGTATCCGTACGAGAGATATCCCTCGGTGCTCCGTACAGTTCTGGTACACCGTTGTTGCATCAAAGAAAGCAGCAAAGGTACATTTGAAAAGTACTTCTTAGTCAGATTTAAGATGAGGTACGTACCGACGTACATCCATGGTCCGTCGCTTCCATTGACCTGGGAGTCGCAGAGGGCCGTCCGAAGGTGGTGTGTGTCTCTCCTGCAGCCTTTGCTCATCCCTCAGGAACGGATGGCAGCTGCTCTGTAGATCCTTGGACGCATCTCTTTCCTCTCTCTCTCTCTCTCTCTCTCCCCCTCCCGCGCTTCTCCGACTTCCATCAACTCTGTCATGGCCGCCGGTTGGCGATGCCTTCCACTCAGAATAGACTCTAGGAGTCAATCTCTCTCAGTCTCTCCTCCTCTGCCTTACGGAAAGGAGATCCCGGACGGAAAAAGAAAGCAGCGCCACTCCACCCGCTGCCTTTTCTTCTTTGGGCAAAGCCATCGAATCCTTCTTCTTTCATTGGGCCATCTATGCAAGTGCAAATTAACCCTTTGCTCATGGGAGGGACTTTGGGGACTTTGGGAACAAGCAACAGAAGCAGCCCACTGACATCCCCAGTCCAAGTCCACGTTGACTTCTCACTTCGTAGATCCTCAATGCTCAGTTCCTCAATGCTCTCCATGTTCTTCTTTCTGGTCATGCCGTCAACCACGAGTACCAGTCACAAGTTGCATTTCCCCATACTCTGCCCTCGCCAGTTGGTAGTTGTGCGCACACACTCAAACAACTGGTCCTGGTACAACAACAGTGAACGGTCCCATCACTCCCAGTCACTCTGACCTTTCTCCCAAGAGCTAAGGGACCAGGGGTGTCGATGGTTCAGGCTCAAGAGTCAAGGCTTAGCCGATGACCACCCCCCTACCCCCCTTCCCAGGACACTAGGCAAGTGCAGGGTCCTGAATAAGGTACGAGGTCGTATTGATTCGCCCAGGTCATGGAGCGTGGGCCATGGTCGTGGAGACACATCCCACCCCCGTCCCATCCATCCCAGGGACCAAGTCACCAAGACAAGAGAGAGAGAGCCATGGCGCGCCTTTGCCCTGGTCTGTCCATGGTCACCGGTCCTTAGTGCTTGGTGCTACGGAGTACTTGGTCTTGGTACTTGTTGTTGGTGTGGTTGCTACTGTTCTGCCTGGCTGGCCCTGCTTGGTGCTGCTGTGCCTCATCTCGTCGAGTCTAAGTAATAAAACCATCCTCCCCGTTCGTGTGTTTCGATCGTTCTACCTCGTCCTCACCTACTCATATTTTGCTTCCCCACAAGCTTCTACCTCTTGCCTTTTCTTAGCTTACCTGCCAGTCCCTCGTTAATCGGCATAGCTTTTCATTATTTCCACACTCTCACTCCTCCTCAAACCACTTTCCAGCTTTCAGCTGCTTTAATACCTGTCAGCAGCCTCTGTTAAATATCTCATCACCTTCGACCCTTTTCTCATCAAAATCACTTCTCTCGATCGACGTATACGAATCGCCGGCAAAATGTTCTCCAAGATCTTCTCCGCTGCCACCGTGGCTCTCGCCGCTTCCACCATGGTCTCTGCCCAGACCTTCACCACCTGTGATCCTACCAAGAAGGGTATGTTTTTTCCGTCCCCGGTTATTTATACTACCGTTTTTGGTTCTTGAGAAATAGTCTTGCTAACTGATCTACAGATTGTCCCGCCGACCCTGCCCTGGGCAAGTCGGTCAGCATTGACTTCACCAAGGGCAACGATGACTCCGTCTTCCGCAAGCTCGACGGCACCGCGGTGAAGTTCGAGGATGGCGGTGCTCTCTTCGCTATCAACAAGGAGACCGATGCTCCCACCATGGCCTCCAAGAAGTACATCTTCTTCGGCAAGATTGACGTCGTTCTCAAGGCCTCCCCCGGCCAGGGTGTCGTCACCTCTGTCGTCCTTCAGTCCGACGACCTCGATGAGATCGACTGGGAGTGGGTTGGTGGTGACAACGAGCAGGTCCAGACCAACTACTTCGGCAAGGGTGACACCAGCACCTACGACCGTGGTGCCTACCACCCCGTCTCCAACCCCCTCAACGACTACCACACCTACACCATCGACTGGACCCAGGACTCCGTCAAGTGGATCATCGATGGTGCTCTCGTTCGCGAGCTGAAGTACGCTGATGCCAAGGGTGGCGCCATGTTCCCTCAGACTCCCATGGAGGTCAAGATCGGAACTTGGGTTGCCGGCCGCAAGGACGCTCCTAAGGGCACCGTCGAGTGGGCCGGTGGCTACACCGACTTCACCAAGGGTCCTTACAACGCCTACTACAAGTCCATCACCATCACCGACTACCAGGGCAACAAGGGTGTCAAGGGCGCCAAGGAGTACGTTTACGGTGACCGCTCCGGCAGCTGGGAGTCCATCGTAGTCAAGACCGAGGGCGGCAGTGACGACTCCTCTTCCTCTGCCTCCAAGACCGCCACCAAGACCGAGTCCAAGACCACCATGAGCACCGTCACCGCCTCCGGCTCTGCTTCCGCCACCGCTTCCAGCGACGCCTCCGCCACCGAGGATGCTGCTTCCACCGCCACTGGCTCCAGCTCCGGCTCCGGCTCCGGCTCTTCCAGCGCTTCCTCCACCGGCACCTCTGCTGGCGCCTCCAGCACCCCTTCCACCGTTGCCGCCAGCTCCGGCTTCATGAACAAGGCCAGCCTTGCTCTCGGTGCCGCCGGCCTCCTCTTCACCTTCCTGCTGTAAGCGGGTTCTCCGGAACTCTTGAACGACCGTACATGCGCATAAAGACAAACCAAAAATCATTCCGTCCGGAGAGCGGATTGTACAACTTCTTCACTTTCAATCACGATCCTTATCACGACTGAACCACGCAGGCTCCTTTACGGATCGAGCGAGCAGTTGGGGGCCAAACCTTGCGACATAATCTGGTACTTTTAATGATCACGCTCTCCCGCGGAACTCTTCCTCCAATTCTTGGAAGAAGCTTCTCCGCGACGGCCTTGCCAATATTACACACGAGAGGAGGAAAGTCGAACAATGGGAATTGCATTTCAGATGGCGGATGCCCTTTTTTTCTTGAAGCAGCTGGGGTGGTGTTTGCGGAAGATGGACTATGATACCTTTAGAGAAGAGTTGAAGAGGATGCCTTGTGCCATTTCGCCGAGGTAGTCGAGACAAAACGTTGACAATCAAAAACCATTCAGATTTGAATTACTTTGCCCTGTGCCGTTCGATTTACGTGAATTTCACATCATCAAAACTTGGGCTCAGGCTCGCGTGAAAATCGTAGGGCGTAGGTGCCTTTGGTAGCGCGAATTCGGCCACCCAAAAACACCGCGGGTTGCAATCTCGCCGTGTTTGAAGTTGAGCAGCCCTGGCAAGGTCCCCCACCCGAATAAGAATTTTGACTCAAAGAGGAGAGGGGGGCCGGGGAGTAAGTGATGGATCCCAGAAATCGGATCCATTTGCCGCGCTCTACCTTATTCGGTAGCTAATTTCCACCTGTGCACCCATTCGCCGCACCTCACCAAGTAAGACCCAAGCAAGGAAGATTTAGGGTCTCATGAGGAGTGTCAGCCCATGGCTTGAATAGTAGTGTGGCAGTATGCTGTGTGTGCGGCGTGCCTGGGGGCGCCGTCGGTGCCGCACGGGTAGCCTAAAATGCCTTTGCGTTGTCTGATGTGATTCTAGAGTGGCGGGCACCGTTGGAGCCAAGAGAGTGATTTTATTTCTTTTTCCTTTGTGAGGGGAGGTGGGGGGAAGGAAAAGGAAATGGGATAAGTACCGCGCAGCAGTTAGAAGGAGCGCGGGGTCTTGGAGGTTTAATCAAACTTGCTTGGGCCCAAGGATCTTGGTACGTGATCGCCTCTTGAGTCTGGTGTTATTGCGCCCCCTGCGGCACAATTGTCTCGATTTTTGAATGATATTTTTGCTTGGCTCCTCGCCCGGTTTGAGTGGTTTTCCAATTGAAGTCCTGCATGAATAGTAAGATCCGTATGGATATCCTTACGGGCTTCGAGAGTTCATGTTTTGATCCTTTCTTCATCTGCTTTCTGCCACTAGTCACTACTGCATACGGATACAATAGTGTTGAAAACGCAGCACTGGATCGTCGCCTGAAAATGAGGTTTCGTGAGGAGTCGTTGTTCACGAGTTGAATACCAATATAATCATAGCATGGCATGGTTGATCATTGATGACCTTGCGGTATCCGTACCCAAATGCCTGTCTACCGCTTCCAGAATCCAGACTTGAGGACCGTGACGTCCGAACCGCCCAATCAAAACAAAAGTCCCATTTTGTCCGGGCTGGCGAGCCCGCTGAAGCCTGAAGAGGGAAAGGGGTCGACCGGTGACAGGCAGTGATTTGCCCCGGGGCCCTTGTTCCTCGGTACGTGTATTGGGAGATTTCTCTATTGACTCGGCGAGGTAGGAGAGGCGAGGCGGCCCGGGGTTTCTTTGGATATTGAACCGGGGGAGATACGGTCCAGGGGAGGAGCACGCATTGTCATCGGCGGCTGAGCGGTATTGAGTGTACCAAAAGCGAAGCCGTAGCGGGTAGCCTCTCTTTCCGGTGCAGTCTCGTGCATGGTAATTTTGGTGACAGAGCGATGCAACTTCCGGGATCGGTACCTACCATAGTACCTTACTACGCATCTAACTACCTGAGAATTTGCGGGTTGGAACCGACTTTCCTCCCGACATTCTTCCTCTTCTTTTCCAAAGTCAATTGCCCCAATAACTGTATTGAAGCTGTGAAGAGGTTTGTGATCAAGGCGTCAAGAAGCGGAATAGTTACCATTTCCGCATGGCTTCGGCAGTCAGTGCCATATGGAATCGGGCCTAGGTGTCACGCTGGGTAAAGACAACAGCAAGAAGGCAGGGAAGATCGCTTTTGATCCCCTTGGTACCTTCCGGCCGGAGGCTTAAGTGGCCTCCTGCCCTTCGGCAACGGAAGGTGGTAGGCACCCCGCTTCACCCGGCCCCTTTCTCCGTTGCTTCTCCCGGAGTCATAAAAGTTTGCCGGCGCTGTGGGGCGCTTCACCCCCGAAGCGCTACCGTGCTCATAGGGGTGTGTGTGTGTGTGTGTGTGTGTGTGTGTGTGTGCATAAGGTATCCTAAGAACACGGCACCGCAGCACGCAAGCTCTTCTGACATATGCAGGTACGGCGCATAATGATGTCGATATCGGGCTTGGCTTACACCGGTCCGCCGTTGGAGGCGTGATGTATCATGTAGCATGTAGCCGGCTCATCGGGTTTCGGTGGCAAAAAAAATAATAATACAAAAAAAAACTTACTCGCGAAAGGCCTTCGGGCGTGGCATTTCGGACCTGCCGCGCCGATCGGCCTCTGCTATGCGGACATCGCATGGCTGCTGCTGCTAGGAAATCAAGCAATAGCCCGGCGCGGACGTCACCACCGACGATCGCGGCGCCGGTCCGCTCCTGACGGGTTGCGAAACTGCGATGGCATGATAGCCACCAGTATGTTGTTTGCAAGGTTGAAGTCTTGGGTGGTTTTCGTGCTTGTTTGACGCACTTACTTTGTGCGTCTTATCTCACTCTTGTGCCAAGACTTTCTAAGCTGGAGGCTCCAATTTCTCAAGAGGTGGAAAGCATCTTATAAGTGAAGTGCAGATAGTAGTTCTCACCAAGCAAGGACGGTGACCGTGGGGTGTTTCCGAGACCGTTCCGAAGTTCCGCACGGCGTGGATAAGCGGTGATTGAATAAACCCTCACACCTGCAGCCGCCCGCGGAGCGAACACAACCCCATGGGCTACGGCTCCCGCATCTAGAATTCGGGATCAAGCTTTCGGATAGTACCCTGCTTCGCTTTGGTATCTCCCCGAACGGGAGACGCGGGATCTGGCAAGCGCTCGGAGATAGGGGGGGGCCCTTCGGGCATCTGCATCGTCGTTTGCGCAATCATCCGATATCCTGACCTTTCATCGGGTCCGGGAATTGTATGAACAATTGGGGATCCTACAGAGTAGGGAGGGAAGGGGTTGGTGGGATCCCGGCGGTCGGCCTGGCAGATGGACATGCATGATGCGGCAAGGGCGGAACACGCGATAATCTAATCAAAGGGGGCGGCTGCAATAGAAGACACTGCCAAAGGTACGGTGTGTTGCAGCCTTGAGGAGAATGCATGAAATCGGAGTCAGATTGTTTCCACACGTGTGTTTTGAGGTCTTTTTGGGAAATAGAAGTCGACGAGATAAGTCCGGCTGCGTACTAAGCAGAGTTCCATCCTGCCAGCTGTACGGATACGGAGCACGAATTATTACCTCTGTAATTCCGTGGTCCGGGAGGGACCCTTGCCGGGACCACGTTCAAACTTCACGGCATGTCTACCGGTATCTTGTCGGTGAGGTATCTCCCCCTCCTCGCACCGGTAGTTATCAGACTTTCCAGCTCGCATCCTATCTCAACAATGGCAGTAGACTAGAGTGATGGTAGAGAGATTGGCAGTGTAGTTCTTGAGCTACATCATCGGCCGGAAGATCAATATCCTCCTGGGCAAAGATAAGAGAAACCTGAAGATCGACACACGCAAACGACAGCAACAAAGTTGGACTGAACCGCCGCGGCGTGCGGGTCTACGGTGACGTGCCGATGGCCCCTGCGCGGCAGACTTTGTGGTTCTCCATAGAAATGCACGGTTTCTAGAAGCTCTGGCAGAAGAAACCGAGACGGCGAAGGCCGGTCTACCGCCCATTGACGGGAAGAATCCGCAGTTGACGTAAGGGCAAGGCTTTCGAGAGCCACAAAATCTCTTCAAATCCCCAAACTGGACCTCAGCCATTATTGTGATGAGGCTGAGCGATTCAGTCAATCGTGCGGCTGCCAAGTTGGTTTCCCCGTGGCCAGGGAAACAGGGGTGATGAGCTTCTTCGGGATGAACTTGAATGGAGAACGTGGTGAAGAAGCCCAGGAAAGCTTTGTTTTCTGCAAATCCCCTTTGGAGCGTTGTCTCAAACACCAGAGACTTGGACTCCAGTTTTTTCTTTTCACTCTGTCTCCAAGTTCCGCCCCTCAGTTGCGGTGTGAAGCCACCCAAGTGCCGGAGAATATTGGAGTCGATGACATCAAAACACCACCTTTACTCGGGAGCGGCGGCCAAGCGAATCCCTGTGCTCGCTTCTGGGTACACACCTTTCTTCGTTGTCTATTCGTTCTTTCGTAGGGGCAGCCCGTCTTCAAGCTGCCGCATGTGTATATCCCTAGTCAAACACGAGGTCGACGTGTTGAAGTTTTGAACAGCGGAGAGAGACAGATCAGAGAGCCCACCCTTCTCCTCCTGCAAGATCTCGAGCTGAGGACGTCTTGCCGGGTAAAGCTCAACCGCCGTGTAGAGGGCGATAGATACAGGATCCAGACGGAGTTCCAGATAATGGGAGAAGCCGTTCGCGCTGTTGCCGTCATTCAATACAGTCCCAACCAAGCAGACACGGCCAGGGTCCCCCGGTGAGTCTTGAAAGTGTAATGTGTTCCCGCATACTGTCAGATAGAAGAAGGCAAAAGCACAACCTCCAAGATTTCTAAGCCAGACTTCCAGAGATACCCACCTCGACCGGCCCAGGCCCCATATCGGGCCGGCGAATCATGACGACGCATGTCGACCTTCTTTGACGTTCCACGCTGGAAAGGTTCCGCACCACCACAGTCCACGACTCCACCCCTGTTCCAAATTGTTCAAACGGCGTCTCTCTGCGCCTCTGCCTCTGCTTTTCTGCATCAACAAAGTGTCAGACAACGGGGTCTTCTTGACTGCCCCTTGGCCCTTGCTCCATCGATCTCGAACCGCGGCATCGAGCCGCACTTAGGCCCATCTAGTTTCCAATCTATTCCCAGTTCGTTCCCGCTGTTTGACTCCACTCACGTTGCAGTTTTTTTTTCGTTTTGCCCTCTCGGTACAGTAGTACTTGCTGTTTTGCGCAAAATTCCTCATCCAGGCTTTCCAGCTTCATGGTTCCGTGGACGACCGGCGGCGTTAGTCCCCTGTTTCGCCGATGAGTTTAGGACTTAAGTTGTTTTACAAGATGGGGAGCTAAAGGTTTAAAAGAGGCGTGTCATTCCCGCCTCTCGACGATAATATTCTATTCTGTACTCACAAGCTTCCTGTTCTCTTATATATAAGATTATCTCTTTACCAAAACAAGAAACACCCTTTCTTCAGATACCCCTTCTTCTTCCGTTTCTCACACCACACCACATCAATCACAATGGCCGCTACCGATTACAAGTTTGAGGGCTGGGTTGGCCTCGACGAGAAGTCCTCCGAGGGCAACATGGTCTGGCAGCAGTATGAGCCCAAGGCGTGGGAGGAGAACGACGTCGACATCCAGATCACCCACTCCGGTGTCTGCGGCTCCGACATCCACGTCCTGCGCTCCGGCTGGGGCCCCGCCCCCTACCCCGTCTGCGTCGGCCACGAGATCGTCGGTGTCGCCGTCCGCGTCGGCTCCAAGGCCGTCGGCGGCATCAAGGTCGGCGACCGCGTCGGTGTCGGCGCCCAGTCCGACTCCTGCCTTGGCCGCCAGGGCCCCTGCGAGCCCTGCGAGACCAAGAACGAGCAGTACTGCCCCAAGTCCGTCCACACCTACGGCCACTTCCACTACAACGGCGGCAAGGCCATGGGCGGCCACTCAAAGTACCACCGCTGCCCCTCCCACTTCGTCGTCAAGATCCCCGACGGCCTCGAGTCCGCCTACGCCGCGCCCATGCTGTGCGGTGGTGTGACCGTCTACTCCCCGCTCAAGCAGCACGGCGCCGGCCCCGGCAAGACCGTCGCCATCAACGGCGTCGGCGGCCTCGGCCACATGGCCATCATGCTCGCCAAGGCCATGGGCGCCGACAAGGTCGTCGGTATCTCCCGCAAGGGCGACAAGCGCGACGAGGTCCTGAAGATGGGCGCCGACGGCTACATCGCCACCAGCGAGGAGCCCGACTGGGCCAAGACCTACGCCAACTCCTTTGACATTGTCATCTCCACCGTCTCCTCCGCCAAGGTCCCCATGCAGGACTTCCTCAACCTCGTCAAGCTCGACGGCTCCCTCGTTCAGGTCGGTATCCCCGACGACGGTGCCTACACCATCTCCCCCGTCCCCATGGTCATGCGCCGCGTCAAGTTCACCGGCTCCCTGATCGGATCCCCCCACGAGATCCGCGAGATGTGGGAGCTCGCTGCCAAGAAGGACGTCAAGCCCTGGATCCAGGTCCGCCCCATGAGCGAGGCCAACGAGGCCATCGTCGACCTTGAGGAGGGCAAGGCCCGCTACCGCTACGTCCTCGAGAACTAAGCGGGAGTAATTGTGTTACAACATGATTGAACCGTTTATGGGGATGCTGTATATAAGATGAGGTTGATGACATGACTTGGGTGCATAGAAAGGGCATAGCGATTGGTTACATTATAGACATAGAGAGATAGATAAAATCTCAACTCAGAAGCTGACAGCTTCGCATTTCACATGATTCATGGTTTACTCTCATTCGTGATTTCTGTGCATGCAAAACAGAATACCTGCCTAGAGTACGCCATCTCTGGAAGATATTGAAAGGATTCCCGGTGTGCAGCATCGGTGTGGCTACGGATGATGTCACGCCGCCTCGGTGAGGGAGTCACCGTGCATTCTGGCATGTGGGGAAGTGACCTGGTCCCACCACGACGAACATCTCACTTCAATTCAAGCACTTACAACTCTCTGATCAAGTTCAACGAGTTTCTTACTGGCTTCCCGGATTCCAGGCTATGAATGAGATGATTGGATGATTAGCAGCCCCATATCATTCTCTCGCTTTGCGTTGTTGCCTGATGGCGAACGCCGCAAGGCTGCCTACATGCATACAGATATAAGCTGCGCAGAGAGTGTAACATGAGACAACTCACAAGGCTCAGATATATCAACTCGGCTCTCACGAGGCCTTCTATACCTACATTCTTAGAATCAACTAGTTCGTGTCATCCTCTCAAACACTCAAACCCCATCCACTGACATCCCCAACCAAAGTCTCTCAACGCCCAATATCCTTCAAGGCCATGGCCCCCCACAACGACGTCGCCGCATTTCACGAGGCTCTGGCCTCAAGCAAGCGCATCCTCGCCCTCTGCGGCGCCGGTCTCTCCGCCTCCTCCGGTCTGCCGACCTTCCGCGGCGCCGGCGGTCTCTGGCGGAATTACGACGCCACGGCCCTGGCGACCATGAAGGCCTTCCGTCGGGACCCAGGGCTCGTGTGGCTCTTCTACGCGTACCGCAGACACATGGCTCTGTCTGCGAAGCCGAACAAGGCACATTATGCTCTCGCCGCACTGGCGGAGAAGAACCCGGATTTCTTATGTCTGACGCAGAATGTCGATGGTGAGAAGTTACTCCCCTACTTTCCCGCAAAGACTCATGAAACAGCTAAAACATGAATCTCAGGTCTCTCGCCAAGGGCGGGACATAAGGAAGAACAACTCCGCCTCCTCCACGGAAGCCTCTTCGACATCAAATGCGCCAACCCAAAATGCAGCTACATCGACCACAACAATACCCAAGACCCCCTCTGCCCAGCCCTCGCACCCGCCTCAGAAGACCTCGCAGACTCAACCCAAACCCTCCCGCTCCTCGACCCTACCAAGAAACTCCCCGCCATCACCGAAGCAGACCTGCCGCACTGCCCATCCTGCAAGACGGGCCTGCTCCGGCCAGGCGTCGTCTGGTTCGGCGAGGCTCTCGACGAGGCCATGCTCGATGGCGTCGACGCCTGGATCGAGCGGGGTAAAGTCGACATGATGATCGTCGTCGGCACGTCGGCGCAGGTGTGGCCGGCCGCCGGGTATATCCTCAAGGCGCACGCGGCCGGGGCGCGGGTGTGTACCGTCAACCCCGAGGCCGAGGACGAGGACCAGATGGGCAAGGTGAAGAAGGGGGACTTTGCGTTTGGGAGGGACGCGGCAGAGGTGTTGCCGTTGTTGTTGGAGCCTGTTATTGGGAAGTTGAGGGCGGATGGGCGGGCGTATACGGAGGATTGGAAGGCTGAGTAGCAGATATGAATGCGGGTTTTCGATTCTGTTGTACTTGGTAGCAAAGGATGGATTCAAGGGCGAAAAGTTATTTCTCCAGTAGATTGGTTGAGCGTTCTTTGATCTTATGAAGCCGTCTAGTCAAATCTTTGGGGGCCATTTGACTACGTCGTGATACACTTCAGTCAGCCTCTACATTTTATAACTTTACGGGCCCATGAGAGAGCTTCATTGTCCTGACTTTAGTAGGACCAAGGCTGTAGGAGAACTCTCCCAGTTGAGATAGGAGTTTCGGAAGTTGTTAACTAGGTCTCTCTACTGAAGGTAAGTTGTCAATCGACGGGATGAAGTTCTCATCTATTTCGTCAAACTGATGGTAGTACTGAGAGCCTTTCTGGGCGCTGGGCGGGAGATAAATGACATTCTTGATCCGGTCGCTGATTATTATATACTCTTATAATGATGATACATAAGTTCTCGTAATGTATTATAAGCGCATGTCAGGTTCTACTGTCACGCTCTTTCTTTGCAGCCTGCTTTCTGCTCCAGGAATCCCAAATATTAACGGAAGTCAGTCTTCTCTCGGCCAGTTACCTACCCAAAACGTTTCATTCAATGGAACCCACCTTCACGGAGAATGATATATCAGATATCACACAGTTCAACGAGACCAGATGTTTGAACACCTAAGCAAGCTTGTCTTTGGAAACAAACAATTACACCCGTGGAACCGAGTTTCTATCCATCAGCGTTGTCAACTAAAAGAAGCTCAAAGTGTAGGGGCATTTGGTAGGCTTCAACTAGCAGGAAAAGCATCAAATGAATTCTCATGTTTCTCGACTCTCATAACTCACGGCATGTATTCTCACCTTAGAAGAAGCCCTTGAAGGGAAGTAAGGCACAGCTCATCGGAAGGGGGGAGGGAAGCACCAAGTCGGTACCTTCACAGTCACCCAGACACTCACAAGTCGATGGCATATACTTAGCGTCTCACAGGTTGAACCTCGCCTCGTTTCTCATAGCACCCTATTCGCTTTACAGCACAGCTACAAGACGAACGAATCTGCATTTCAGGAAAACGTCCCACCTTATCAGCGACTCGCATCAACGTCGTGGCACAAACACATCACATGACCGCCACTCACTAACAAAATTGCGTATCCTCAAACTCATCCAAATTCACACTGAACTCACTCCATCAGCTATCACTTACCCTCGACTTATACCAACACCTCACCAACTCACAAACCAGCAACCTAACCAACAATGTCCAACCTCACAATTTCCCCCCCGACACCCCCCGAAACCCCCCAAATCGCCACAATCCACATCTCGTCAATGTCCTCCAACCCCCTCCTCCCCCTCCAATTCCCCACGCCCGCCTCCCTCGCCGACCTCCACGACCACCTCGCCTCCGACGCCCTGCATCACCTAACTCACAACGACACGCCGCAGATTCTCGTGGCTCGAGTCAAAGCCGATTCCGACGTGAACGCGGACGCGGCCGCGGACGTGGCCGCCGAGGACGATGGTACCGGAACCGAAAATATCACCGACAACGGTGGCCGTGGATGGGGACGTATCATCTCCTTTGTGAAATGGGACATCATCCGACATCGACATCGACCTCGTAGCCAAGCCAACAAACCCCCCACCGCATCCGCCAGCGGCTCACGACGCTTAGAGCCGGGTAACATACTGCCAGCGGCGGCGGCGGCAGTGGATGATGCGGGTGAAGAGGAGCCTCCTCGGGACCAACAAGCCCATCAACATTCGAAAGCGGAGGGCGGAGGAGACAAAGTAAGCGCCGCGGCGGAGGTTGAGGCGCAGGACGACAACAACGACGAAAGCGAGGACGAAGAGTGGCCCGCTTCAGCGAACCGAGAATACCTCACCGCCTATGCGAAAGCCGCATCAAAAGCACGTCGGGAAGCCATGGGCTCACGGCCTTTTCTCCGTGAGTTTCAAGCATCCTTCATAATCTTTCTTATTGTCACTCGTTGTCCACTATGCTTTTCGGTCCGCTCTTTCTCTGTGACTAGTTTATTTTTGTTTCTGGTTTGTTTTTACCCCCATCTCCATCATACCTCATGCCTGCTCTTCCGCTCCATTCAACGCCGTTCTTAGCTCAACATCTTCAACCACACACACACAACTCCACCATCCCGGTATTTCCCATTACGTGAAATTTTCGGAAAATGTCGCGCAAAGGTGTGGCCCATTCCCTCAACCCACCTACCTGTATCGGCATTTTCCCCATCCCAATTGCCTGTTTTCCGCCGACTAGCAGCACCGGTGCCGTATTTCCCTATCCGCCATATCTCAACTTCCTTGCTGGCACGTACTGAGTCGGCTCCGAGGTCGGTGTTTGCCCATGTGGGGAATGGCACCGCATCAGACAGCGAACCTAGAAATCCAAGACTCGGAGTCTCTCTCCTCCCCGGGGTGGTCCCCCACTCCCCAAAAGAATCGCTGATCCCAGAGATTCCTCGGCGGGTTTCCCTTCATCCCTCAGCATCACCCTTTCTAGAATTCCAGAATGTCATTTCGGTGACATCTCTCCACGGAACGGCGGGGGCAAACGGGGACCACAGTTTTCCCTTTCATTCCCATCGCGGTTCCCACGTTACACCTGTTACCCGTGTCCACTTTGCCAACGACGCTGGCGCTGAACGCTCAAAGCCCCGAATCTCGTTGCTGACATCTCGTGGGCGCTTCCTCCCCAGCGGATCCGGGCCCGCCGCCGTCGGTGGTCCCCGGTGCCGGCGGGGACGCCCGGCTTTTTTAGATTTGACGTTCTTGTGCACTGACTACCGCTTCCGCGGCCGCGGCGCGGGGAAGGCTCTCGTACATGCCGCTACGAAAGCCGCCAGAGCTGAGGGGCTGCCAGTATTCCTCGAAAGCACGACGGATGCTGTGCCGTTCTATGAAAGGCTGGGTTTTGTAATGATCGGAAAATTCCACATGGATCTCCCAGGCGAAGCCCCGTCGGCGAAGAGAGCAATGATCTATGAGGAGACCCTCATGATACTTGAGAATATCTAAGACTCGTGCAGGACCAGTGAGCAACACTGACTTGGTGCGCCTGGGCCGCGATGATCTGACGAGTGCACCTGGTACAAAACCCGGATAAATCCACGAGAAACGTAAAATGTCGAACCAGTGTGCTCGGGTTCACGGGAAAGACGTTCCAGCATCCGTACTTCAGGCTATTGTCTCGGTTCGAGATCGTCGGGCCGCGACCTTATGACCTGCAATGATCAGCACGTATGCCATTACAACATGATGTCGGAAGGTGGAGGGCAGTAGACGGGTAATCCTCAGTAAACACTACGCTCGCCTCTGCAATGGCCGGGCGATAGAGCTCTAGACCACTCGAGGCAGAGCAGAGTCGGTCAACTATGCCCAGCCTGCCTTCGTCGCATCACAGGAAACAATGACCAATCGAATTCCCAAGTTGAACTAGACGCATGCTATCTCGAATGTTGCGGTTGACCGGTTTGGTTCGGCTTTGGTGCTGTCTGGGAGAGCGGTGTAACTTGTCCAGTTTGCCGCCGGTGCCTCGACCGGCGCTTGCGAATCCTCAGACGTGACGGCCTCTTCCAATCGATCGACCCAGCATTTCTGAATTTTTTTTTTGAAAAAAAAAAAAAAAAAAAAAAAAAAAAAACCTCCGTCAAGAGAAACCTGTGAGTTTCCTAGTAACAGAACTACCGCAACTTTACGTTTTGGTCTCCGCAAGCAAATACGATTTTCGGCTCACAGCATGCGAAGAATGTGTAGTCCATGAGTGCAGTAGGTCGCGAGGGTCGCGTAGAAATCATGAGATCAAGGTACAGATATATCAAAACGCCGTTTCACATGCACTCGAGCCATTGTGGACGTGGAGGTGTCACTGTTCCATCGTGACCTCGGACCGAAAAAAAAAGTTCGGGTATATCTTCACCGGGCGTGATTCGCCGCTTAGGTCGAATAGGAGGTTGTCGATTCAATTAATACCTGGTCGGAGCCGACGGCCACGGGAAACGCTAGCGATAGAGCCGCCGGGCTGGCATCGTGAAACTAGCGGGATTAGGAGCTCAATGACGTAAGTAGCAGCTGGGCGATTGTATGAACCCCTGTTTGGTCCTTGGCTCTGCTGGGTTAAGGGTGTGGTGCCTGTGTACTCCGTACGTTCACGATGTCGCACAACACAAGAAGTTTACCCCCCACCACGAGGCATGTGTCTTTCTGCGGATTGTTGAGGCGAGGCGGTCGGAAGACGTGACATGCAGGGATTCGTGGGGGTCTCCCGCAGGAGGCGGCGGGAAGCAGAGTCAATCAAGTCGTTGATTTCAAGGTCATTTGTCGAAGAATGTCAGAAGATGGTAGAGCACGAGGTCCTTTGGGGGCCTTTTTCGGCAGGTGAGCCGACGTGGCATTTTGACATTTGACGAGCAGGGTATTGCGGTTAAAGATACCCTCTCAAGCAGCAAGTTGTTTTGAAAGGTTTCGGTCTGGTCAACTGCTGGCGGCGGCGGCAAGATGAGCGTGGTCCAGATAGTGTGGGTTGGGCCAAGATGACATTCAAGCTGTGGTGGTGTGTGGGTTTTCCTGGCCCTGATTCCTCAAGTAGTGGTGGTGTATCTGATGCCGAGGGTGGGATAAAGCGACGTCTATTTGAGATTGGCATGGTTGGTATGATGAGCAGCGAAACAGGGACGATGATTCGCAGGAGACCAACTGCCCCGCAACCCCGCGTTACCAGGAACTGAGGCTGGTCCACGGTCCACCAGATCTGGCTTTTGGCTTATTTGAAGAGTGGTGAGTTGTGAGGTTTTTGGTTGGAGTCTCCAAGTTCCTCGACGCCGATTTGGGGCCGTGACACAATTGCACTTCAGTTCAGGGACTGACAAGGTCCCTTGTTCATCGGGCGCGACCGGAACAGGCGCGGAGGCTCCTTCGCATCGACTCCTCCTGCCTAGTACTATGCCGGAGGGAGGAGACGTCGTCTGGACCGACGGCATTGAAATTGGAATCGATGGAGATGGTGACAAAGAGTCTCAACGGGGAAAAGGGTGCCATGACATTGACAGGGGCGGGATTGTTGAAAGGACCCTGAGGCGCAACGGCAGAACGGCGGTGATTCGGCGCGGCAGACAGACGATAGCCCAGGATTTGTGTCATTGTTGGACGATCACTTGGCCGTGGGTTCAGTTGTAGGTAATTGGAATGCGTGCCGTGGCATGGGCTGGTCCGCTTGATGGTTGGCGTGGTGGCTTGACTTGATGGTTTCGAACAACGGCGGGCTAATGATTTTGGTGATTAGTGGGAGTGGGAGAGCAAGGCGGGAGGTGCATCCGCTTCTTTGCCCGCTCAAACTTGATGATGGAGCTGCATATCTTAGCAGCTTCTGGACTCTGGGATGAGGGATGATGCTGTTGATGGTGGTCCCCTGCTGGATGTTGCGTCGCAGGTTTATCCCTCTTCCAGATAGAGCAGCGGGTCTCCTGAGGTGTTGCTGGTTGTGCAGTTGCGTGCAGTCGGGTTGCATGCGACTCGACATTTGGCTACGGTCAGCGCCGTGCAGGAGTACAACAGCGGTGCCGCATAGGTAGATTAACAGCAGAATGGAACGGGTGTTTGTTGCGCGCGCGAAATGCTGGTACAAGACGAGGTTGAAGTTGGGACGATGGGCCAAAGAGACCTTGGTCGTCGTCGAGTTCTGACTCGGCAATATTCGAGAATTACGTTATGGGTATTGTCGCGCTAGTCCCGAAGCAGGCGGTACCGGACTTTCTATAAGGTAATGGGAGCCACTTCGCTAAAGGGGTGGGTCCCCACCTCACGTCTACCTGCTTAGGGCTCTACGGAGTACAGAACTGTACGAGTGCGCTACAAGCGCCGGTCGAGGCAAGAAGCGGCGAGTGAGCTGCAGAATGGCAGTAGTCAATGGTGGGGCCCCATGTTCCGCCCGAGTACCGCCGACTCGGATCGTGCAGCAACCACCACCTTGGAGTTCTTTACCTACGGAGTACCTTACCAAGCACCCTAGGTACCTATGGGAGTCTAGGTATGGAGCATGTACCCTTCTCCTTCTACCTTGCAATGTAGGCACGGGTACGGAGTGACGGTACGAAGTACGGAGCTGAATCTTGGGACGAGGTGAAATATATGAGCCGTGATTTGCCCGTTTGCCATTATGTATTTCTGTCTCGTAGCATCTTTCTAGAACGCATGCCCCGGAATGGACAGAGATAAGGCGGCGTCCATCTCCCCCTCCCAAATGTCTCGTGCTTTATCTTTCCGTCCCTCCATCGACACCATTACCTCCATCCCCCATGCCATTCCCAGCAACTACGACCCAGTCATCGTGCCAGACAGTCCCGCAGGCCGCAGGGTCGACAAGTCGCACCTTTTTGCCATGTGCTTTTGTGGAGAATTCCTCTTCCCATCCGGCCACCACAACTCGACCATCATCATCAAGCACCACCCAAGCAGTAGCACACGTCTGTCTGGACTCTGCGCCGTCTGTGAGTCCATATTCTCCATTGCCAACCTTTCTTCTTTTACGCGGAATGCAACGAAAACGGCCCTGGCGGCCTTTTTAGCCTCGCCCCTTCAAGCACGCCTCCCTGTTCCCATTCCTGTTGCCCACTTGCTATGACACTTGAGACTTCAAATCCCCAGTGGTCTTTACTGATGCTCCTGGTACTCCAACGCGACGTAATCGCTATCAAACATCCAATCCAGTATGTCACTTGGGACCTGGACCTGCTCGGCTAACATGCCTTGACCTTTTAGAGTCTCTGACAGGACCCTTGTCTCTTCTTTCAGCGATAGGTCACTTGGTCTTTTTCCTATTGTTCACGTCCATTTCTCTTACCACACTTTCTTACCTTTTTGCGCCCTCGCCTCGTGTCTGCTATCGACCGCCGCATCGACGCGCGCCTCGTCGTTCGATTCCCGGCGAGCCGCAAGGTAATTCATTCCTCCGTAATTGGGCAGTCTCTCGGCTTGGCTTTGTTCAACAACCGATCCGACACTTACACCCCCGCGAACCTCGAGGTGGGCGTAGATGTTCGAAAAGCACAGCCCCGGGCCTACCCTGTTCTCTTTATGTTTTTCTTTTTGCCCTGTTTCTTAACTTTGGTTCGTTAGCCACTGACACGGACAAAGTCTCCCCCTCTCTCTCTCCTGCTTGTCGTCTTGAGAGTTGAGACTTTTGATGCCAAGCCATGCCTAGGCATGCCTGTCTCCTCAGTTATTGCATTTACAGCTGCCGCTTTGCACATCCTTCCGTGTCGGTGAGGACAAGGCAGGCACGCCGCACCAGGTTGCAGAAGAGCACTGCACTTGGGTGCGGTAAGAGAGTTGTAGGAGGAGGGAAAAGCAAGAGACGCCAGGAGGGTGAGGCCATGCCCGTCCCATTCCATTCCATGCCAGCCATCCCGTCCCGTCCCATCTCAGTCAACATGTCCTTGCCCATGCTCTTGTCTCCATCTTGATCCCCATACTCCATCAAACCAAGGTTTGGACCATTCTTTCTTGATGTCTTTTTTGGCCGCTTGGTCCGTCAGTCGGACCATTGGGACCAACGCCCGCCGGCCAGTCAGATACTGCCGCGCATCCTCTTCCAATACACCCTCTTGCTTCTTCCTCCACCGACGCGAGACGTGCCACTCATAGTGAAGGGGTAGGGAAGAATAGGTACGCAGTAGGGAGGAGTGAGAGGAAAAGAGTGTGTTACGTTTGCCCGGGCCTGCCTGACATCTTTGCAGTAGGCCGCCGGCGGTCAGGAACTCTGACTCTTCTGTTCGGAGCTCCATCCAATCCTGACTGTGCTCCTCTCCGGCAGATCCTGTGTCAAGCGTTTTTCTGTTTTAGTCTCTCTCTCTCTCTCTCTCTCTCTCTCTCTCTCTCTCTCTCTCTCTCTCCTTGCGGGTTTAGAGGAACCGTAACACTGTCGATCAAAGATTGATCGAAGAGAGAAAAAAAAAGTGAACCAATGTACGAGGGGCAGCCGCAAAGTAAAAAAAGAACACCAAGAAGGGGGAAAAAAAAAA